TTATCAAATTAACAAAATAGTGGTTGCTGTTGCATCTGTAAAAAATAATAATTAAAAAAAAAACCTATCCTGAACACAAAAGGTGATTTTGTGGATGAGTGAACGAATGAATCGTCCAGAAGGTGGTGGCAGTGAGACTTGTCAAGAACAGGTGAGTGGGTCTCATTGTCAGTCCCACAGAAAGAGTAGGTTGCGTCCATCAGAGTCCTGAAGTGGCATTTTACATGGTAAGAGCAATTAATAAGTTTATATGTTTTTTCTATTTGCTTGTTTGTGAGGATAAGTAAAAAAAATTTTCATGTTACAAATTGTTAGACCCTCAGCCTTGTTTCCCTTCTGGGTAATGTGGGGGTCTGGCTCCTAGACGTGGAAAAGGTTTGGAGCCTCCTCTCTCCTTTAGGTCCCGTGTTGTCCCCCATAGCTGCAGGCGGCTCTCTGCTCCTGGTGCTGCAGATGGCTCCTCAGATGGTGTCATCGTCACTAAGCCTCATGCTTATGATTCTCTTCAAGCCTTTACTTTGATTGTCTGCATTTGAGTGCTTGTGTGTGTGTGCGCTCTTGTTGATTCTGTTGGGTTGGCAGGTCTATACTGCAAGCCATTCTGCAAGATCTATTTAGGTGGCTGAGTGGATAGCACTCTCGCCTCTCAGCAAGAAGGTCCTGGGTTCGAATCCCGGTTGGCCCAGGGCCTTTCTTAGTGGAGTTTGCATGTTCTCCCCGTGTCTGCGTAGGTTTGCTCCGGTTTCCCCTACCACTAAAAATATGTACAATAGGTCTGGCATGTGCCTCCTGTACTGGCGACCCCACTCCCAAAAATAACAATTGTAAACCACTTTGAGACTCCGATGTGCAGTGAAAAGGCGGTATGTAAATAAAGATTACTTACTACTACTATACTTGGAATTGCTTTTTTTCTTCTCAATCATTACATCGGGACTTAGACAATTAAGTGTGTGAACCATGGACTTGGCTCTCCTCTTTAATACATGGCTGTAATACCAATAGCGTGACGTCATCATCTTCAGGAAGTCAAAAGAGGACCAAGAAAACGTCACAATGGAATTGGTGTAAATGTTGTACTACCTCAAATCAATCCAGTGTCATGAGAATCCTGCAGGTCTCTGGCTGTCATCAGGTCTACACACAGCAAAAACTAAAGCGTCATGAAAATGTCTTTTTATTTTTTCTTTATAAACAAATGTGAAGAACCAAAGCAATGTGGCTCAAAGGATTATTCACAGCTTCAACCAAAACCTGTCTGTAGTAGTAACGCAAAGTATTCTTATGAGAAAAGAAAAAAAAACGGGAGTTTACAAGCAAATACATTTGAAACACAATATAATACTTTCTTTATTTAAACAGGCCCCTCCCGACAGAATGTACAAGTACCACATAGGACTAAAATGACGCACACACAACAATCCTTAAGGCATTCCAAAGGGACGGCGCATCGTGAGACTTTTGATCCGTGTTTATCTTCGTAAAATTGAGGTAACTTCACACAGTATTGGAAAGATTACAGAATTTGGCCTAAATTAAAGCAATACAAATATATGGCACTTGCAATATATGAAATTTGGGTTCGTTAGAAAACACTGAATTAAAACGCCAACAAAATCTTTTATTGCATGTTTATTCCGATTGAGATAAAAAACATGTGGCGTTGGATTTTTAAAGGGCTTTTTTTTTATTGCTAAAAACATTTTTGACTGAGCTATTGTTTACTATTAGCTTAATTTACAACTAAGAAACATTTGGGCCTCATCTCAAGCTAAAACACTTGCCTTTTTAAGAGTTTAATAACATTTTATGTTTGTTAATTGAAAGTACGATTCAAAGTAGAGAGCTTCACTGTGTTCAATATCAGGCACTTTTATGAGTCATTCTGCAAAACAGTTTTTTTTTTTATTATGAGTTGTTTGTTCACTTTTAAACTATTTGCACTCTTTGTCATCACTGTAAAACAAATCAAACCGTCTGTTACAACTATTAAACTATTGTAAGTAGTTGCGGGGCCTAGTCCCAGTATTTAACTGTTTTGTCATGAAAATACTCTATAATGTTAGATCTCAAAATGGCACTGGTTAAAACATTAAGGCATTCCATCCATCACTTCTGCTTTATTCGTTGCCCATACATTCTCACTTACTCCAGCTCATTTGGGTCAGACCCGAGCCATTTCCAGCCCAACTGAAAGACACAGTCCATCCAGCGCCTGCTGGGCCATGGCCTCCTCCTGATGGCCCCTCCCCAGTTAGAGACACATGTCTGAGTCACCTCAGCTGCCTCCTATCCACAAGGCGTCTTTGCTCAGATCTTACCAATGGTTGACAGGAGCCATGTTAAAACAATGTTCCTCATCAGTCACAGACTTGGAGTTGACTTTAGATCCATCCATGATGCTTAGGTCATGCTAAAGTCTTTGAACATCAGAAGGCTCAAAAACAGGTTTGAATGGTACTTTAGGGAATCATCTGTAACAATAAATGGCTTCACTCAATCATGAACCAGTTATGAAAGCACACATTCTGCCAGTGTACCACTGTATTCATTATCATCTATAAATTTTTTTTGTTCAGAACAATGAAAATGTTCCCATAAAACAACTAATTTGATGTAATTCACCTGCTTTAACACAGTGAAGCTTTTTACACCTGAACTGCTTCCGTTTTTGCTCACGGATTGTATTTGTCATTTATGATTTCACGTAACACTTGAGAAAACTTAAACCCATATACTTACAGCGCTACAAGAACCTGTGAGCAGTGACCGGGGAAAAAGCCAAGGCACTCTATTGTCAACACCAGGGATCCACCAAAAAAACAGAAAATACCCCTCTTCAAGTACAATACAAAAGAATACATTCACATTCATCTAAAAAAAGAACGGAGGACAGAGGCTTTAAAGTGACTGTGTAAAACAACTGTGAGAACTATAGCCACATACAGTATCATGCGTCGCCCCGTTCATCGTCCAGCTCTAATATGTGCTAATGCAGTGACTGCATAGAGGTATAGAATGTGTCCAATTGTAACGGGAATATCCTTTTTTCCTGGAAAAGTTTCAAATTCTCGCAAATTAAAGTTTATAGGTTGTATTAAAAATCTATTGTCAGGTCTATTGAGGATTTTGTCGTTGTTGAGATTATTCTCGTGATAGAATCATAGATTTTCTTTAGATAAAATAAAAAACTAATAACTAAGAATTGCAATTTTCCTCTAATCATCAAAACGGCCCCTTACAAGGTACAAGGGTTTGTATTAAACTGACTAAAATGAGTTGAAAGTGGACATTCAAACACAACCATTGACTTTAAGAGCACAATTGAAATAAATGGCACATAGCCAATATTATTTCTAAGTTTTGAATTAAATCAATGGACATTTCTTTAAATCAGCGACTGTAACGTCTGAAAATAAAACTTATTTTACTGAACTGAAAGGGGAACCGACCACAAACTGTTGCATTTCCCCTGAAAGAATGAATCCCACGTCCGATGTTGCCGCACTCTTACAAAATAAAGCACAAACAAATCACAGTAAATTTGCAAACAAACAGGCCCGCAGAGAGCCGTTTTAGTTTCCGCTTTAAATACCACGCATATAACCGTTCACGACAAATGACAAACAATGTTGAAACCGCTTAAAAAAATAACAAAAAACCCAACAGCTCCAGAAGCGGTGAAAACGCTGCTTTCAAATGTCTATTTACAGCCGTCTGTGCTTCTGGTGTGAGCGTGTTTGTGGGCAGCAAGCGGCGAATACAATGACAACAAAATGGAATCATAAAAGAAATGCAGGTATTATGGTAAAGGCGAAGGCCACTTGTTCACACGGAGCTCTCGTGAGTCTAGAATTGCTTTGCTCTTATTGCTTTGGATGTAGATGTGAAGAGAGCGGAGCTGTAGGCTATTCTATTGCTTATCATAAACATGTTTTTACCGTAGCTACCTCAAACAAACTTCCATCTGCTCCATTACAATAACAAAGCAGCTTAAAGACCACAGCGGGTTTGTCTGCTTTACAGTATAGACATAATCTCTGACATACTGTTCTCCTAAACTTTAATGAACGATGGAGTTAGCAATTCTGCGCTTGGCATTTACTGATTTGTTCGCCAGTGATTTTCCCTCCTCATAAATTGTCTTTAAAAAAAATGTCTTTGATTATAGCTCAAAGAACATTAGCCAATAATGGTAACAAACAATGCTAACAGCTAACACAGAGACACTTAAAAACAATGTCTGGATTTGGTGGAGCGGAAGTCACATGCATGATGACTGAAAATGTTCTCACTAAATACTGAATTCTACCGGTTCTAAGCTTTAGCATGATACTATAGCATGTGTATATTTGCAGAGCTGAAGTTAGCTGGGTGACATTTTGAACTTGTTATTATGATCTCTACTTTGGGCACATGTTAGCATAATCTATTGCAGACTTTTACAGACAACAATAGATTTGTGGATTATAAAAACAGGTGAATTCAAGTGACTTTAAACGAGGTATGACATGTCTATAGTGGCAGAGGAAATGTTTGACAAGATGAGTTAGTGACAGTGGAGGCAGTAACTTCCAATGATTGTTGAAACTTTGCCGATTACGGTGTCTTGCAATACAGTAAACTGAATTGACAAACTGATAAATTGGTCATTCCCTACTTGAAACTGAAGTGTAATACCCTGTCAAGAACCGTTCGTTATTATGATCTGTTGCTATGTTGCAAAGATTTCTAATAAAACACTCATCAAAAGCTGTCGTAGACACTATGAAGCAGACAAAAGCGCAAAACGCCTTGAGCTAAAGAATCTATTTTTTTTACATGCGTTTTCCTATCACACTAAAATGCAGACGGGACAGTGATCACGCAGTCCCGCTCTGCGCACTCACTCTCCCAGTTCGACCCGCTCACACAAATCCCACTTCAAAACTGAACATTTAAACATTTTTTGGTAGTTCCACACTGTCCTCTCCGCTCTCCACACTCACGCCCCCATTTGGTTATGTGGTCCTTAGGTTGGGGCCTCCTGGGTTGCTAACAGACTTGTGCAGAGCGTTGCTGAGGTGGAAGGCTTGCAGAGAGGCCTGTCCCGCCGACTGATTTTGTGACGTGGAGGTGTTGTAGGGGGCCAGAGGTTGCGATGCGCTGACCAGAAGCGGAGGCGCCTGGTGCGGGAGAGGCTTGACGTGGGCTGGCCCGCTCCATTGCGCGCTGTAGGCCGCGGAGGGGTGGTAGTGGATGAACTGCGGGGGCTGCGATTGTGAAGACGGGGGAGTGGGGGAAGTGGGGGTCTGGCCTAAGGAGCTTTTGCGGGCGGACAGCGAGGAATGGCTTCCCGGGTTGGCGGGGAGCTGAGCCGAGCCCGCACTGCCGCTGCTGGGACACAGTTGGCCAGGGGCGGAGAATTTTCGCCCCATGTTAGCGGACTGGATAAGCTGAGGTGAAAAAAATGAAAAAGAAGAATTACTATGACAGATCTAATAGACCCTCTTCTGCCTTACTTACACACAAAGAAAGAAAGACATTGGAGGAACACATTTTTATTTGGAAAGCAATTTATTGAAAACATACATTTATCAGTTGATCAAACAGATCACAGCTTTTACAGCTTTTACCCGTTTTAGTATGTATAACATCTAAAAGTATCTAGCCCGGCTCTTAAACAATTTCACATGTATGTATTTTTGACTTCTTACATATTTAGATCAGCTTCATTTTAGCTCTCAGCTCAGAGTGTCAAAAAGTGACACTCTGAGTATATTTTCCAATATGATAACCATAATGTTGTGTTGATTTGTTCACAGCATTTTACTTTTTAAAGATATTCTAATTATCTACAGAAAATATTATTTATAAAAATAATTAAAAGGCTAAATCTCAATCAGAAAGTTGAGATTAATCCTAGAGGTTATGGAACACAAAGTCAAGTGATGTTCAAAAACAATTACACACATCTGTAAGATCTCCGGTTGATCCGTGGAAGAAAGTGTTATTCATTGACTTTTTGACTATTCAACTTTTTTCTATTTAACCAGGTTCGTCCCCTGTTCACAACTGATTAGAAAGGGACATAACCCAATTTCTATGTTCATAATGTGAACCCCATGCTGTGATAATCTGTAAACTCTGTAATAAATATATAGCTCATATGAAGCCTCAATATTTAGCCAAAATAATGTGTCACGTACTGTACCTCCACCCTCAGTCTCGCCCATTATTTCCCTCAGTCCCTTACGTCCTTGAACCCTGCTTCAATGAAACACGCTCACACTAAAAGTTCTGCGCACATTTTTTTCCCTTTGAGCAAAGAAGACCACAAGGGATAGGAGGATAACACTGTCAAAGTAAGTGAAATCTGGAGATCAGATGATGAAAAGTCTATTTCTGTTTTCAATAAATTGCTTGATTTAGATGGATTTGAACAGACCTCATAGCTGTGTCCTTGAGGAAACGTCTGCTGCAGCTGTTTGGCACTCTTCTTACCCTGAACATATGAGCAGCCATCAGTCATTTGTACTTTTATCTTAGTATCTATAAAGTAAAATGAAACAGTGAGTATGTTTACAAAGCAATGGTGAAAAGTCACTGGCGCTGACGAAACCATTGATGGAACCATTTCACCATGTAACACAGCCCCTCTGTGTTTCACTGGATTGTTTTGGTTTTGGTAAACGAGGCAAAAGTGAAGAAAAAAATAAAAATAGAAATGAAATAACTTTAATGAGGAATGTTTGTATTTTTGATATTTTTATTGAATGCTTACATTAGTATACATTTTCATTCCTGCACATTAACAAGTCTAAATTAAATGCTTATTAAAGGAGTTAATTTAATTGGTGTAAAAAAACTTATTAGATTTGGTTAAAATCTCAAGAGACTGCTCTTTACCCGTCAGGATTGTTTTGTCTTCTGTGCGCTACTGTGTTTTCCATAGACAATCTTTGTTTTTACCTCTCTGCCTCCACATTTTGGAATTTTTAAGGAACTTTTGAGGATCTTTTAAGGAGTATTTGAAATAACGCCAAATAGAGTCTGATTTTAAGCACAATTTGTATTCTTGTGGTTTGTAAGTGCTCAGAAACCTGTTACCTGTGAGAGGCTGATGGCGTCGCGAGCCCAGTTGTCCACCAGTTTGTGCAGGTCGTCGGTAAAGGTGCCTTTTCTCTGGTGCGGTGGGCCCAGGTTCTGCGACCCGCCCTGACTCGACACGCCAGAGCCCCCCACGGCAGACGTGCTGTTTGTCCCTGAAACACACATGTACATGTTCAAACGTGGTATAATCACAGACTCCTGTGTAAATGAATGAGAGGGTCATGTTTGACTTTTGGGTTGTGGAAATAACAACAAAAAAGGCAAAATATGTTATGATTGAAGTAACAATGGATTATCTTCGCAACGGACTAAATTATCCTGTTAGTGATATAATATCATAATCATATTTGATAATCACATAAGATTTTGGGTTTATCTATAGGGTCATATTTAAAATTCTATTCAGAAATAGAGCTTGTCTGTTTCTCTTTTATCTTGCCTTGCCATGTGTCTGTGTTTCTTGTTCAACCTTTTATGTGAGGACCTAGAGTCGAAATAAAGAAATGATGATGATAATAATGGTTTATTATTAAAATATTTCATTATTTCTGTATTATGATCAATACCCAGAACAGAATTTTGGTTTGCATGTTCTGGATATTGATTTATTATAAAGAAATCAAGGAGAGGAACACATGTGTACAGTGTATTTTATTTGTTTATGGCTAATCTTTTGCATTTTTGTGTATTTATTTGTCCACATTAGAGAGGTAATTTCAACAAAATGTTACTTTTGAAAAGAAGAGAGGATGTGGGTGTTGCTTGAGCATGGAAGTGAAACAAGTGGATGAGTAACTCAGTTACTCTTTAAGAATAAAGCCAAGGAACCTTCACCAAACGATTACTTTTACTGAATATTGGTTTGGAAATTCTTGTGGACAAAATGAGTACACTCATGCAGGAATTGAAACTGAACAGGATAGGTCAAGGTTAATTTTTAACTATTACTAACTATTATTTTGGAATTGTAGTTAGAGTAAACTAAATAATTAGTTGTTTTTACTTAGTGAACAATAATGGACAAAACACATCCATATCGCTATTTTTTACATGTTCAAATCTGTTCCAATTTATACCTTCAGCTCAGAGTGTGGTCAGAGAGTGCTTGGACTGTGTGTGTGTGTGTGTGTGTGCGTGTACAAGAATAAGGCTGTGTTCACACCGCCAATGCATGGACGTGTGTAGATGCAGGCATTTACACACGTTCTCTAAATATCAGCTGCATGAGTTTAGTCAATCTGACGTCCTGCCCTGCGTTGGGGAAAAACGCAGAGCGGAGGGAGTGGGTACTTCTGTATCAGCAAACACGTTAGCAGCAACTCAAGGTGAAGACTCCACAAAAAAGCGTCTGCTGTGTGGATAAACTTGCGTGCCGCGACTTGCCGCAACACATTTTCCGGTGTGAACACAGCTTGAGAGGGGGTTGGAGACAAATAAATAAGAGTTTGCATTGTCCAAGCCCTTTTCAAACGGTTTGATTCTGTTTATCATGTTTTTGAAACAATTTTAGTGGTACTACTACTTTTTTAACTAAGCAAGTTTAGTTTTAGGTTTCAACCTCCCTCTCACAGAACGCTCCATGTTGAATCTCCGGCAGAAATAGCCTTTTGAGGCTTGTTCTGCTGTTTTAAATCTGTAAATGATCTTCAGACGTTTTTGTATACAACTGTGTGCTTTTGAATGCCGCTGGAAACGGCAGCAAGTCCTAAGCAGCCCTGAAATCGTTATTGTTTTGTGCTTTCAATCGTTATGTTTCTTGCTTTTTTTTCTGGCTATATATATATATATATATATATGCGTGCGTGTGTATATATATATATATATATATAAATATATACACACACGCGTGTACACACATGGTCACATGCCACATCTACAGCTGTTACAGGCGTCTGTCACATCTGGGTTTTCAACAACATGCACAAAACTATCCACTTCAGTCAGTTTCAATCAAGATCCAATTAAATTTCATTTTCACTTATATTTTTTTCGGAGGATTTGGGGCCTCATTAACAGAACTTTACATGGATTTAGCTCTATCTTTACTAGACACACAAAACAAAAACTCTCAAATGTACTAAATGAGGCAGAACATTATTGTTTATTAAAAATACATTCCCCCGACCCAGAAATGGATTAAGGGGTAGAAAACAGATGGATGGATAGAAAACTACATTATGCGAAAAAGAGATATATATATTAAAAAAAAAGGTATTTTCATTGATAACAAACTTGGAACGTTAGCAGCACTTATGTATATCTTTCATAAATATGCAACTTTTAGAAATGAGGCTCCAGGATTAGACTTTTGACAAATGTAGTAGAAGAAGAAACAAAACGGCAAAGTTGTTCAGGGCAATGGAAAGCAAAGAGTGACGGATGCAGGGTGTAAGCAGGGTTGGAGGGGGAAGATCAAAAGAGATAGTTACTACAAAGCTGGTTGCAGGGGCAGACTTTTTTCACCATCTTCCCTGAGCATCCGGAAGACAACAGCGAAGGACAGGAGAGAGTCACAGTTAGGCCCACCCACATAACACCCAAGTAGACCTGAACTTTCCCAAGCTCTGCCCGGACCACTCTCGTCTCAGTATTTTCAAACTGTGTAATTCTTTGATTATTTTGTATGTTGTATTATTTTTTTTTTTTTTCATTATCAAAAATATGTTTTACCAGTGCGTGTAAACTTTCAAGCATGACTGTGATTGCGAAAGTTATTATTCTATTTATATTCATCTTCGCCTTACATCTGTTATCTCGTCACTCGTTTGGACAAGACACACATTGTGTATAACACTTTGCTTGTATGAATTATGCCATATAACAAATACACCTTGCCATAATAGTAAAAGTGCAGGTGTAAAGTGGTCATTTTGAAGCAGTTTTTAGATCCAAAGTGAATAAACTATATACAGGTATAAACCACATTATACATGATTGTTATGTTTTAAATCTGGACAAAAATCTGCACTAATCCTGATGAAGAGAAATTATTGTCTGGCCTGTAGACTGGGCCAAGAGTGGTCTGAGCGGTTTGGGGTAGAGTCTGATAGATAGATATACACTTTATTGATCCTGAAGGTACTTCACAAGGAACTAGTTTGTAATCAATGTGGTTTCGGGCATCAAAACAGGCAACATGTCTAAAATGTAGTAGCTTTAATGCATGCTAATTCTTATGTTAAAGTTGATTTGATCATGTATGGAATTTAATTTGGACAAAACTATATGAATTTGTTGGAGAGCCACCCCCTGGCTCTGGGTCCACTCAACAGCTCACCAAACCCCTCCACAAATTAAAGGACACATATTATGCACATCTGACATTTCAAATAAACCATATTAAATGACAACACAACACTCGTAAACAAAACGAGTTGTGATGTCCCAGGCAATTTTGCTCCTGAACCTAAACACATTTCTAACATCATTGGCAAAGAAAAAAAGTTGCGCGTTTTATTAGATACATTTTTCAAGACAAGTTAACCTTCAGACTGAGTGTGTCAGAACAAAATCTTGTACCGTGTCTTTTAAACGCTGGGGTACAAGATATTTAAAAAGTGAAAGGAGAAATAAAAAAATAAAAATATGACTTATCTGTCATGTTTGGCCACTAGCACAACATGTAGAGCAGCTTTTTGTTTATTTCTGTAATTAAATTTAAAATGTGAAACCAATATATGATAAAGACATATTACATGCAAAGTGACAGATGCTCTGCTTTTGATTGTTGTAAGAATAGATATTATAGCTTATAGTCCATTAAAAAATACTATATTATATTTGTGTTTTTTTACATTACTGTATAACAAACAAAACCTAGATATCTAAGTTTGCATGTACTGTGATGTCATGTATTATTTTCAAATTTTGCGTTGAATTACAGAAGAACTTTTGAATTACATTCTAATGTTAAAACTGGACATACAAAAATATCAAATTTCACTGAACATAATGTGCCATTGATGTTAAAGTTTTGTGTTAACAATGCACTTTCTGGGGGAAGAACATCATTTAAACAAAGATGAGTTTTTCCTGCCACCTGATGATTGATGTGTCTTTACACACTCACAAACAATAGTGCAGGTTTTTTGAATAAAAGAAAGCCTAAAATGATAACAAATAATGCATTATAATATGTGTTCTTATGTGAAGCACAAGTCCCATCCCCCCTGTCCTCCTCTGGGCCCGGTGACAGGGGCTGCAGATGTAGGACACTGGACAAAGTCATGACACAAATAGAAGGGAAAGTGGTGGTCTGAGCTGCAGAGGAGCCAGACAATTTCAAAATATTGGGGGAATGATCAGGAAAGAGACTTTACTTTAACCTTTCCATAATAGTAAACGTGCAGATGCAATGTTCTATAACCAGATATGTCAAAGGGCTATTGGAGTCAACTGAAAGGTTACGGTGTAATGCAGATCTGCTGAATTGTATGAAATCATTTGTTCTGAAACACAAGACTATTGTGAGAAGAATGATATCTACGACCAGAAATGTTAATATTTTGACAAAAAAACGAAATTAACCCAGTTTCTCAAGTTTACGAAGGACTGAGAACTATGGCAGGTGGATTATTATCATTTACGCTTGATACATCTTTCACCATATTTTTCATACTTCAGTATTCTACAGTATACTTGAGTGACACGCTGGCGCAGCGGTTTGAGCTTGGGCTTCAGAGCAAGAAGGTCCTGGGTTTGATTCCACCTCCACGCCTTACTGTTTGGAGTTTGCATGTCTGCGTAGGTTTCCTCCGTGTGCTCCGTTTCCCCTACCTCTAAAAGCAATGGGTATGAATGTAATGAGTGAGTGAATGGCTGGTGTTGGTTGGGGGCCAGTGTGTTCAGTGTCTCGCTTCCGTCATCTGCGCGTGTGGAGTGAATGAAAAAATAACGGAAATCTCAACAATTGTGAAGCGCTTTACTTTCTTTAGTACATTATACATGTTAATGGACAAAAATAATGCACTTTGAGTTGCCTTGTGTATGTATTGTGCTATAAAAAATAAACTTGCCTTGTCTAATTTCTTTAAGAAATGTTGTCTTGTGTTTCTTGTAGACAGAAGGAATTGTGGAACCTCAAATATCTAGGAAGAGCTCGTCTCATAAAAGCTTCCGGCTCGACTATCGCCTGGAGGTGAGGTTGCACAAGGATCTGAAAAAACGGGGATTATGTTTACATGGCACCATTCGCAAAATCAATGCAGATATCCATATGGTTTAGATGCACCTTTGTGAGTGCCACTCTCATCATAGTCTGAGCTCAAATGTCACAGGTACGTAACAGCAAAATGTGGACTCAACTTCAAGCTTGGGGGTTACTGAGGGGCCTGCACAGAGTTTAAGGAGATAGGAGCATTGTGCTGGTACTCAAACCTCTCTGGGCCTCTCGAGGAAGGGTTTGGACGGCAGGAAAAGGAATCCCAACAGCCTGTTTCACAAGAAGCTGCCTCGCAGAGTTTGGGGCAGTCTGAGACTGTTAAGTCCAGTCAACCACTTCTGCTTAGAGGCAGGTGCCTGAGCTGGTACAACACCACCTACTGCTATGGTGGTGCAGTTGGTGGTGATTTTGGGTGATGTCAATACTGGGTTAATTAGTTAACTACTAATATAAGATCTATGTGTCTCTCTTATGTGTCAACTCTTAAGACCAGGTGTCCTCCTGGTCTTAAGAGTTGTTGTTACTTTTGTTGCTGTTGAAACTACCCCCATAGGAGGAAGTGACACGGTCGTCCCGGGACAAACATGGCCGCTGGACAAACCCCTGGCCCACGTGGCGTTTCCCCTCCTACGCCACTTTACTGAGGTTTCTGCTGCTGGACAAGGACAACAGCAAAGTACCGTCGAGCAAAGAGGTCAGCCATCATCTGTACAGGAGTACTTTGCTTTCATCAGGGTTTGTTTGTTAGTTTTCAACATAATGGGCTGACACATGGGGGCCTCAAACAACAGCAATGAGCGACACTCAGAAGCTGCGTCTTTCACAAATCTTTTTGGCTATTCAATTGCAACCCATGTTTTACATTGCTTGAATTTATTGAAATGTCATATATCAGTTTAAACGGTGTTCTTCAACGGTCCTGGTGGTGGCCTAAATGTTGTTTTGCCTAGAATTTGTCCCTTTAAATGGGAAACAAGCTGATAACTTCACTTTTAAAGTACTAACATTCTCTATTGTTGAAGAATGTAGACATTTCAGTAAAGTAAGCTATCCTACAAGAGGACATTGGGCCACTTTACAAAAACAGGGACCACTGAGGTTCCTTATCTTTTTTTAAGGAACAGGACTCTGATTTTACGACTTGTTCATTTTTTGTTTATTAGAGTGCCTTATTTCTGTATGAAATATCAAATATGGTCTTAGTAGAGGAATTATTTAAACCTGAAAATGACAATAAGAAGACAATGTTATTTAGTCTCATTTATAGTTATAAATGAACTATGAATGATTTTTATTTTTCAAATAAATACATATGTTTTAATACATTTCTTTCCACATACATTTTGAGAATCCATAGTCTTAGAAGGAAACGACAAATTATACACCGGATGAAAGGTGCTGAATACTGGAAAACAGGCGTTATTAGAAGCATGAACATAGCCATCAAACCGAAAACACCTTGCGTTAATGTTAACCTAATGTGGAAGTGTCTTTATCCTCCAAGTCAATCTATATCATAGACTTTAGACTGGCCAATGGCTCTTTTATAGATTTAAAACCTAACCGGATCTATAAGAGATTTCTACTAATGACAATATTATTGATAATACCATTAATGATATGTCTTTAATAGATATGTTGTAATCTGCTCCTCCTCAGGCTCTGGATGCTGAGCTCCCGGTGATGGAGCCATACTTTGTGCGTAGCCCAGACCAGGGTGGGTCTGGAGCCGGTCTCAGAGTGACCTGGTTGGGCCATGCCACAGTCCTGGTGGAGATGGACGGACTGAACATATTAACAGACCCCATTTTCAGCCAAAGGGCATCACCCGTCCAGTTCATGGGCCCCAAGAGGTACAGAGGGCCCCCCTGCACTGTGGAGCAGGTCAGTCTGAACCAAGCACAAGTCCTAAAGTATTTTTCCCTCAAGTGGAGGATAAAAAAAGATTAGAGAGTCTTTATCAGTACAAATGTTGATGTTGCAGCACATATACAGGACAGTAGTAAGCACACACTGTGAGTACACAAAATATACAATGCTATGCTTCTTAAATTGTTGTAAATGATTCATGTTTTTTTTTTTTTTTAAATACTAATATATATATATATATAAATATATTAGTATAAGATAATTATAGTATGAGGATAATGAATAGGTAAAGGGACATTCAAGGGAGATTCTGAAATTGCAGTATTCACTATACACAGATTAAATGACATGTACAAACTCAGCAGTTCTCATTGTACAGTCTGACTTCACACAGTGAGTCTGTTACTGAAGCTACTCCCTTGAGCAGACAGAATGATCTGCATGGGGTGACAGTCGAGGTCCAGCATAGATAAAAGTAAACGTGTCTGCTGCAGCGCGGAGCACATGCATAGGATTAGCACATCAGGGAAAGGCTCATTTGTTTTTTGTGTGCGCTGTCAGTTTTTCTTGCTCATAGTCATGTATTCTTACAGCGCTTGTGTTTTGCAGTTGCCCAGAATAGACGCTGTGGTCATCAGTCACTCTCACTATGACCACCTGGACGCTGGCTCAGTGTCCAGTCTGAACAGTCGCTTTGGCTCAGAGCTGCGCTGGTGAGTTTCATCTGTCCACAAACGTAGAGCAGTCAGGCCGTGGCAACATGTCTAATTGTGGTTTATGACTATATGCATAAAGTATTTTTCAAAAGTATATTTTTATTTGGAGTGCATATGCTGATCGAAGTGTACTCAGAAAACACAATGCACAAGCTCATTTACAGGAACTCATACTGGAAATGATTTCTTGGACAGTTTTATTTTTTACAGGTACAAAGTGGGAAAGTCTCGCTGGCTCATGTGATAACATTTTTCAAACTCATGAATGGGCTGAGTGTGGGCTGGTACTCTCTGATCTTAAAAAGTGACAGAGGCCAGAAATATTCGGCCCCCTTGAACCTTTCAACATTTTGCCACATTTCAAGCTTCAAACATAAAGATATAAAAATTAAATTTTTTGTCAAGAATCAACAAGTGGGACACAATCGTGAAGTGGAACAAAATTTATTGGATAATTTAAACTTTTTTAACAAATAAACTGAAAAGTGGGACGTGCAATATTATTCGGCCCCCTTGCGCTGATACTTTGTAGCGCCACCTTTTGCTGCAATTAGAGCTGCAAGTCGCTTGGGGTATGTCTCTATCAGTTTTGCACATCGAGAGACTGGAATTCTTGCCCATTCTTCCTTGCAAAACAGCCAGGAAGGGCAGATTTGTGCAGTGCACGACTGATTGTTGTCCTATGGACAGACTCTCCCACCTCAGCTGTAGTTATCTGCAGTTCATCCAGAGTGATCATGGGCCTCTTGGCTGCATCTCTGATCAGTCTTCTCCTTGTTTGAGATGAAAGTTTTGGAGGGACGGCCGGGTCTTGGTAGATTTGCAGTGGTCTGATACTCCTTCCATTTCAAAATAATTGCTTGCACAGTGCTCTTGAGATGTTTAAAGCTTGGGAAATCGTTTTGTATCCAAATCCGGCTTTAAACTTCCCCACAACAGTATCTCGGACCTGCCTGGTGTGTTCCTTTGTCTTCATGGTTCTCTCTGTGCTTTAAACAGAACCCTGAGACTATCAAAGAGCAGGTGCATTCTATTTATCATCATCAGTCATTTAGGACAACATTGGATCATTCAAAGATCCTCACTGAACTTCTGGACTGAGTTTGCTGCACTGAAAGTAAAGGGGCCGAATAATATTGCACGCCCCACTTTTCAGTTTTTTATTTGTTAAAAAAGTTTAAATTATCCAATAAATTTCTTTCCACTTCACGATTGCCTTTCGCAAGGCACTGTATGTATCAAAACTAGTAACAGAACCAAAGGCTTTTCCATCATTTCACACTGCAGAATGATACATATACACCATTGTTTTGAGCAGAAGGAGCTTTGAAATGATGTATGACAGAACAATAGGTGTAATAGCAAGAGCCGATTGATTGTAAAAAATAAACTCTGCTATAGATTTTCTTTTTTTTTCTTTTGGGATTTCTTTATCATGATTGTTGACAATTCCATTAGTGCAATGGTTATATTTTCAGATCCACATTGGATCCACATTTGATCTTTAGTAATGTTTGCTTGGACTGCAGGTTTGTGCCTCTGGGCCTGCTTGACTGGTTACAGAAGGCAGGCTGTGAGAACGTCATGGAGCTGGACTGGTGGGAGGAAAACTGTGTCCCCACTCACGATGACATCACCTTTGTGTGCACGCCGTCACAACACTGGAGCAAACGCACGGCCCTGGACGATAACAAGGTCTCTGAACACGCCCCTTTATCAGTCAAGTTTTCTGATTCAAACACAGTTGGACCGCAGTTATCTGATCATCCTACAACTATCAGATCATACTATTGTGCAAATGAGAAAAGCTTTGGTGATTATGTTGTGGCTACCTCTGTATCTGCAGCCCATGTCCAAACAGAAAGTCTGAGCCAGCAGCTGCTCAGGGTAAAACTACAACTACCTCAACATTAGAGCAAAGCGCCCTCCTCAGTGTGGATTTATATCTGGTTGCCCTCCTCTGCACTGATGCACACATTACATGAGGAATACATCAGCCTTTCAGAGTGAAGCTCACGCCAACACAAGTGACATAATGCAAGAGCTCTTCATATTTAAGCCTGCAGTGAAAAGTAGAAACAAAACAAATCTTCCAACACAAATAAGGGTTTTTATCTGGTTTAAATAGTTCCATGCATTCCTTCATGTGTTTCAGTCTTTATGGGGCAGCTGGACTGTTCTGGGACCTGAGCATCGATTCTTCTTCGCTGGAGACACAGGCTACTGTCCAACCTTTAAGGAGATCGGACACCGCTTCGGACCGTTTGACCTGGCTGCTATTCCCATCGGAGCTTATCTGCCCCGGTATGTGACAAGAGTGTTCCTAAGTCTTCAAATTGTGTTTTTAGTTGTAGCAAGTGAGTGATGTGGGTGTGCAGGGACATGATGGTGGGACAACACGTGGATCCTGCTGAAGCTGTGCAGATACATGAGGACCTACAAGCCAAACAATCTGTGGCCATTCACTGGGGAACATTCGCACTTGCCTATGAGGTAAGCAGATATAGAAAAGATTGCAACCTCTTGATTTTGGACATGTGCATTCAAATTGAAGACAGTAGAAAGAGTTGACTAACAAGTGCAGATGTCACCCATAGTGAAGAAGAAGCCAATTAGAGCTTTCTCGAACTACATGGACCAGGATCTGCTGTAATAGGGAAATTCATGGGTAGCACCAGCCTTTCAATTCATTTCAATTCAATTTATACTTGTATAGCCCTAAATCACAACAGTAGTTATCTCGGAGGACTTTACAAAACCGTCATAAATGGCAACACAGAATACAGAATCAAACAGTTCAAACCACAGACTGTAAATATGAAAGGACGTAGTCACGCCTCATCTTCTGTGGGCAGTTTCAAAATGGCCGCGAATGGCTGGAAAATGTTGAAAAAGCATTTGCACACGCGTTTGCCAACACGAGCCCCATTCTTTTGACGAGTGTCTTCAAAAGTCCACAAAGGCTAAACTAGATTGCTCCATAAGAAATACTCCCCGCAGCATTGACACACACCTGGAACGTAGCTTTGGGCCAAGAGCCGATTTTTGGACCATCCTGTAAAGCCGTTATCGAGAGGTACGGCGGCACGGTGGCTGAGTGGATAGCACTCTCGCCTCTCAGCAAGAAGGTCCTGGGTTCGAATCCCGGTCGGACCAGGGCTTTTCTGAGTGGAGTTTGCATGTTCTCCCCGTGTCTGCATAGGTTTCCTCCGGGTTCTCTGGTTTCCCCTACCACTAAAAATATGTACAATAGGTCTGGCATGCACCTCCTGTTCGGCGACCCCGCTCCCATCTGTGTGGAGTGAGAGGACAAGTGCCCAAAAAATAACAATTGTAAAACGCTTTGTGACTCTGGTCTGTGAAAGGTGGTATATAAATAAAGATTACTTACTTACTTAAGACGGCATACAAAATCATTGAATAATTTTTCTGGGTACACCCCTACCGGCCCGAGGTGGTATTGCAAGCATGTCAGCGCACATGCTCATGGACCTTTTTGAGCCGCAATCCTTCTCAACTGGTTCAAACACAAGAAATGCAATGATAAAAAAGAAGGGGCAGGTGACCAAAGCCCATCAATGTCCTTAAGTGTTGTTGAATGTCGAGTGTTCTGGATCATCACCATACAAAGAGCCAGTCAGGAGTGGTGCCGGTCTGTCCATATTCGTGTTATCCGTTAGCTAAAGCTGAATTCGGGTACAGAAGGCACCTGATTGGTCAATTGTTAGGGCACAACTGTATATACTGTGTATATATATATATATATGTACTTGTGTGTTTTTAGTACTACCTGGACCCGCCAGCCCGTCTGCGAGAGGCACTGGACCACAAAGGGATCAGCCCAGAATCCTTCTTTGTCCTGAACCATGGAGAGTCGCGCCTCGCCTCCTCGCCCAGCGGAGACATTTTTGACTGATGTTGACCACTTTCAGATGAACCAACTGAAATGGTCACTATAGAAGAACATCCAAATAAACACATTGTCCTGCCTGTCACACAAAACGCTGCTTTGAAATATTTACTAACTTTAGTTCAAAGTTGGTTAAAAAAATGCCATGTTTTTTTTGTTTGCAATGCCATATTGTGGAACTTGCCACTTACAGAAACATGCAGATAGAAGTTTGTATAGTACTTTTATAATGGGTAGAAGCTATTCAAAATTCAACCTTTTTAGAACGTACAAAAAATAAAAAGTTAAAATTGTATTTGTGAGCAAAATTTGTCAGTAAAATGTTATTAAAAGCAATTATCCATCTTTGACAAGGTTACCTGGCAACGGTCATCCATATAAACCAAATACAGTCGTTCTCAGATATTTCACTTAAGGTTTCACCAAAAAAACTCAGAAAATCACATTTTGTCACACTTTACATATTTTGCCCGCAAAATGTTGTTTGAGAATTTTTATCAAAACTAACAAACAAATCATTGGAGTATGCTTCTCTTGCTGTGGTTGCCATTATCCCTTTTGCTTTTATTGACTTTGGCGATGCAATGGTACAATAGTATAATTTCTGTTTATTTTTATGAACAAAAAAGCGGCACTAGCATCTGTTTTTCTTCCATTATTTATGAGGTCTTAACATGCTAAATGGTTAATCCACAGCTTTTGTCCATGTACTTGTTCTCCCCTGATCAAATGTAGAGTTTGAGCTGGGTTCAACTCGCTGCACCTCTCAAACTTATTTGTGACACTTTACTTTCTGTTTCCTGTATGTTTGTCACAATCAAGCACAAGAGTGATCTGTAGATGAATGAATGAGTGAATAAAATATCTTAATTATGAGATTTAAAAGATACAGTTGTATTCGTCTAATTACAAAAAGTTGGATTGGGCTGTGTGATTATATTTATCAAAACCTATATTAGTTTTGTTCTGTTGGGTTTGCTCATTGCTTCAAACTGAAATTACATTCTTAAAACTAATAGATCCTTTGGCAAAATGAACATTTCAGCTCTGTCACGAGTTTTCAATTTTGTCATTTTTTATTGTCAATGAGAATGCCATTATATTCCATACATTTCGGAAAACTTTTTTCCGCCTGTGTGGGTCTTTATTAAGTCATGACAACTATTCATAAGGCGCTTAAGGCTGGCTCCTAGTCCTTTCCTCAAACATGTTTTGTATGTGTATATAAAATATGATATAATTATAATATAAAAATATAATTTTATATACACATACAAAACATGTATGTTTTGTATGTGTATGTGTATATGTGTTTTTTTTGTATGTGTATATATAAAATATGATATAATTATAATATAAAAAAATATATAATTGGGGCGACAGTAGCTCAGTTGGTAGAGCATTAGCCTTCAGGCCTGAAGGTTGTGGGTTCAATTCCCACCTCTGCACCTTCTCCACCTACTCCCACTGATGACTGCTGTCGTTGTGTCCTTGGGCAAGACACTTAACCCCACTTTGCCCAAAGCCCCCGCTGAAAGATCAAGGCTATGCTCACACTCAGAGAGCAGCCGTCCTCCTGTGGACTCACCACCTGCAGAGGGTCAGTGAGGGGCTGGTGCTATGAGACTTGGGTGGCATCTCTGACTGTCACCCCCCTGACCCAGAAATGGATTAAAGGGTAGAAAATGGATGGATGGATGGATAAAAATATAATTATCAATCTTATGAGGGTGTGAGTGTTTTGACCATGGTATAAGTGGATTAACCACGGGGAGCTGTGCGGTTGTATGTTTTAAAGTGCTGTGCCTTGTGCTGTTCTATGCTTTGTGTGTTTCCATTCAATCGCACGGCTCCTTGTTTAATCCTTAAACAACCTGCAATGCCAATTATACAGTTTTATTAACTTTAAAAGGCAAATATAGATTTATTGACAAAAAAAAACATGAAACATGGGTTTGCTTTTACTATTTAATTGGCTTTAAATGACTCGTGGTCTTCAGGACTGTTGGAGAATATAAGACATGGTTGACATAATACAGCGCGGCCATGAGGCGACCTGCACCTCTTTCAGGTCCAACCCCGTTGGACAGAGCAGGTGACAAGATGTATATTACGCTTCTTAAAAACCTTAACCTATGTTGACCATTATGATGTGAGTACTTGGTGCATTCCAAACAACAACAAAACATGACTTATTTTCACCCCGTGTGGCCATATCGATGACACACACTCCCCATTTTGTGGTATTGGGAAAATAAATTATACACATCTATAATTGACAGATTTGTTCACTAATGGACCTCAAAGTCGCTGCACATCTAAAGAAGTGCGAGATGCAGGGCACCAGAGTCCTTTCGATGCCGCTTGCGGCTTCAATCGTAAGCACTGCTGTTGAGTGTTAAAACCACATATTATGTCACATATGTATGAGTGTGTAAGTAGAGCAGGTAATGATTAATTGGTTAATGAAATAGCTGTTTATTGTAAATACTGGTTGTGATAATGTGTTACAGCTCTACATACACAGAATGATGAGAAAAATAGGTGACTACAAATCAAAGTTGTTAAGACGTAACTATAAATATTAACCTGGTGCTGTATTACCCTGAGCGAATACATTGGGAAAAGCCCCAGATACATTTCCACAGGATTGACTTTCAACCCAAGTCGACTTTTCAATATATATAGTGCAAACTATTTTCACTCAAAAATATTGTTGGCACATATATTCTGTGTCTATCCAACCTCTGTAATAAATAATATCATATTCACTCATGGAAAAGTCTAAAATCAGTTCAAGCTAGCTTTGATTGTCTATAACAGGATGCAAAACATATTTACACATACATCATCTGTATATACTCTGCTGAATTCCCTTTCCCCAAACAAAACATGAGCATTTAGAGTTTAACGTGGCATTATTAGAAACATTCTTTATTGTTCCAAGCCCATGTTTTTTCCCTTTGTTTTAAGGAGCAAGACTCAGTATAAACCAAAACCTCTTCAACAAACAATCCTCTCAGTTATGGGCATAACTAGAGGAAATGTTTTAAACTACATCATTTTGAACAGCTGACTTTGTGACATACATTAAAATCACAATTTAAAGTATTTCATCAATACTTTTTGTTAGCAGTAGCAGACACTATCTGCCCCACCGGAAAGAGTGTTGTTTAAGTAAAACATTTACATACTAAGAGCTGATTGGCTAAATGAGGGCAGGTAATCTCTAAACATATTACAAAAACCAACATGTTATGCCTGAGAAAACTAGTGACAGAACCAAGCTGTTGTAGAGCCAGGAACTACTGAAACAGGTATAATTACATAGTTTTTTGTGTGTGTTATCTTTAACGAACACTCACACAACATGAAATGAAATGCACACACACACACACACACACACACACACACACGTCAGGCCACACTCTGGTTAGCGCTGCTGTGGCTGGTGGGTGTGCGTGTAAAGTTGAGGAAGATGCCGTCTGGTTCGCTCTCGGAGTCAAGGCTGAGCGCAGGATCCGTGTCCAGGCTGGAGCTGGGACTGGGGCCGGCGCTGGTGTCCTGGGCCACAGCAGCCTCAGAGGGGAAGGGAGGCAGGTGAGAGAACGGCCCATCACCCTCCACTGCTGCACTGGACTGAGGTCTGGACTGTGGTCTGGACTGTGGTCTGGACTGTGGTCTGGACTGAGGTCTGGACGTCTGCTGTGTAGGGGAATTGTCTGAGGATCATAACAAATGATGTAAATGACAAAAGTGCAGTAGACAATATGTGCTTTTCCATTAGGTTGTGTTCATTGTGTTCTATTTCTGGATTTTGAGCAGGTATGGGAAAATGTTGAAAATATATGTATATTTCAGAAATCAGTTCGTCAAAGTCAGCTGACAGCTTACTACCATTTATCTTTTACCTGGTTGGATTTAATCCTTGTGCTATTCTCAAATTAAAAGTAGAAGAAAAATACCTTAAATCAGGGTCTAAATGACCCAGGGATGATCAAGTTAGAAAAAACTATCAATCTAATTTTTATTCCCAGTTCAATTTAGCATAGCACACAGGTTAAACAATGCCCTGCACCGTCAGTGGCACTCATATTGTCTTTTTGGTCGGCTCCCTTCCTTAGCGACCACCACCAGGGTTCAGGTATATCTCAAAATTCCATCTCAAAATCCCTCTTTGATTTTTCCCTCTGCATTAGCCATGAGTCTCATCTGCCTAATACTGGAACCAATAAATAAATAATATAAGGCCTCCTCTGTCTGTTGAGTCTCACCAGATTGAATTATTATGTTTGACAATCCTTTCTACTTGTGAATATGTTTTTGGATAGTGTCACCACGTCTAGACACCTTTTTATACGAAAATGACTAGACCTTAGTAAATATTATAACTAAGGTCTAACTACTAACTGCTATTATATAATTAATATAATTATATAACTAATATAATAGTGATAAAGTAGATGTGTAACTTTGTGACAGTTTTGTTTCATGTGGATTGCCTCAGGAATGACAGAGAAAGGAATTAGAATGCATTGGTTTTATATAAGGCTGTTATGGGGACGCTTCACAGGGCATTAATCTTTCACTCTGTACATAGTGGTGATGAAGGTATTTATCATAATCTTTTATACTTTTATTGGGATTGTGTGTAATTGCAAGACAATAACACATTTCTGCCAATCGGAGAGCACTGTTTTACATGTATCTTGTTCAATGGAATAAAATTGGACGAGGCGAGTGATTCCGTTTTTTGCAGTATACTAAAATGAGCATACTTAAATGATAACAATACCCAGACTATTTCTAGGGATAATTTCCTTTTGTCTTTTATTCTTTTGCTGATCTGTGAGCACCCTATGACCTGTGTGCGTCTATGGTCTCGTCTCGTATCGTCTCGTATTGTCTTGTATACCGGCTTGCTCTGGTTGTGTGGTGGGTCCCATAGCTGCAGTCTCCCCTGCGCTCTCCTCCAGGCAGAGGCTCATGTCGGACAGTGAATGTCTGCGAATCGCTCCTGCCCCCACCCCGGCAGAGGACGGGTCAGGCTCACACTCCACCAGCGGCGTCAGCATGGGAACGTTGTAGCTTTTGGAGCGCACCACCGCATTCTTGGCCATGGGAGAGTTTACAGGTTTGGGCCGTGACGGTTGTGGGCGCTTTTCTATAAAGGAAAAAGAACTTATAGAATTTGGGTTTAGAATTGTGCTCTGTTGTCTGTTGTTGGCTCGAATGTATTATAATCTTCAGACTATGATTTCAGAAAAGAGTACAAAGCCTTTCATTTCCTACATTGCTAATTTGTGTTGCGTATTTCTACATAGGCTCATCATCAGGAAATGAAATTGTCCCATTTTGATCTGCGTCTAAACCCCTAAACTTTTTTCTTTTGAAATCCACTAAATCCTCTATAAATCCACATGTTTTTGCAACAAACTCAGCTTGTTTTCAAAGTTTACACACCCATGCAGAAGTGTCATTATGTTGGCTATAAATTTAGATTAGATTATACGTGATAACAGATACTTTTCTTCTCATCATTTTTGCCAAGAAGAATGAGTATCTTTACCATCAAAGCGGATAAAAAACCTCATCCATAAATACCACAAAATACACAACGGATTCAAACTCAACTTATGAGGCTGCATAAGGTCGAGTCTGGGTGAAGCTGGGCTGCTTTAAGGGAATGTGAATTATGTGTTTGCACACACAGAGATGGACTCAAAACACTAAAATTGCACAGGTCAATTGCACTTGGCACACATAGTTTAGATCCTGGATAAATATAATACACCGCTACATATTCCCTCATTCTTTCACATTAACAGAACAGAAAGTAAATGTTTGCAGAGACACAAACAGGAAAATTGAGAATCAAGCTTTGTGGAATGTTTCATATCTTCATGACTCCATCTATTTTCTTCCCCTCAACCCATTTCTGGGTCGGGGGGGTACACATAGCACCAGCCCCTCACTGCTCCTCCTGCAGGTGGTGAGTCCACAGGAGGACGGCTACTCTAAGGCATAGCCTTGGTCTTTCAGCAGGGGATTCAGGCAGTGGGGTCAAGTGTCTTTCCCAAGGACACAACGACAGCAGACACCAATGGGAGTCGGTGGTGAAGGTCTCTTGGTGGACTCGAACCCACAACCTTCAGCCCCAAAATCTTTAAGGTATTTTGACCAAATCTTTTGAATATGAGTCTGATATAATTCTTATATATTTCTGTGAATATGAGTCCAGCTGCTTCGATTGAAACAAAACTGTCCCAAAAGCAATGAGGCTTGTATTTGGGTTCAATAATGTTTACTTTGAATTCTGGCTGCACTGACCTTTTCTTCTACATCTGGTCTTGTGTTGTGTAAATTCTACCTCGTCCCATCCCTCACCACTCCCTTATGGAGGTGCAAAGCCTAAGGTGCATGTACCCAGCAGACAGGAGGAGCAGTGGGACCCGGACAGACCATCTCTGGAGAAGAGGCCGTGAGTTCCCAGATAAGGAGACACCACCTTCTGAATGAGCCCCTCCAGACGCACGTAGTCCTCGCTCACCCCTCTGGACTCGTGGACCCCCTACAACACACATCACAAAACATACTATGGAAACTATGGAGAAAGATTTCATTTCGACCACTTATTTTCAAAGTATAGTCAAAATGTATCCTTGTAGTGTCTTTGAAAACTAAAGTATTTCCTATCAGCAGTAAAAAGACAAAAAGCTTTCCTTCTCTCTGTCATGGTGTGGGTTTTATTTTTGTATTTTTGTTTTATTTTGACATTGTTCTCTGTGGTTTGGTTTTAGTTGTACTTCCTGTCCTGTTTGCCCCTGTCTTGATTGTCTGCTCTGCCCTGATGTGTTTCACCTGTGTCTGTGTCTATATGTACCCTGTGCTCCTCTCCCCATGTTGCTGGTCCATTGTGTTGTTCATGTCTTTGTCTGTTCCGTTCTGCCCTGTTCCTGGTTGCTTGTGTTTTTGGATTTTTGAGTTTTAACCTGGACTTTTATTTTGTTATCATTAAATAATTATTTTTTGGCATTCCTGCATTTTGAGTCCTCCATCATCTCTCCACATGACACTCTCTCTTTCTCAACATTATTCCTCATCAAAAAAAGGAACCTCCATCAAAAACTGTTGCCCTTTTGCTTGTTTGTGAGGTTTCAAACCTCCCCTCCAAGTCTTACTGTATGGTATTTGCATGTTCTGCCTGTGACTGCTCTGGTTTCCTCCGTATATCTATTATCTATTTTCTTCTGCGACATATTCCCGGGTCGTGAGGGGCAGCAGTCTGAGTAGAGACGCCCAGACTTCCTTATTCACACACTCCAGCTCATCCAGGGGGAATCTCAAGTGTTACCAGGCCAGATGAGAGACACAGACCCTCCACGAGGTTTCCTCTATATGGGACATGCAGGACAAACCTGCAAAACCTACCGAGAGAGGTCCTTTGGCATCCAGGAAACAAACCAAACAGATTACGGAGTCTCCTCAACTGGCTCCTCTCCCCGTGGATAAGCGGTGGCTGTACGTCGCGCTCCTCCAGTGTGACTGACTAACTAGCACTGTTCTCACAAAACAAGCCAATTACTGAACTCTAACTGCTAATTTACACATGACGTGTTACAGCACGTACGCGTTATACGGGCAGCAGACGCGCGTAACTTTTTTCCATGTTAACCTATGATGATATTTACACTTCTAGCATCATACGCGCGTATGACGGACGTATGACGCAAAGTTGCGCTCTAATTTAGGACTGATTTCTAATTTTGTGCGCGCACCAACGCGTCTCCCATTGAAATCTCATGTAAAACATGATTTTTCTAGCGGTCCTTGGCTCTAGATCGCAGTATACGCACACACAGCACTTGTGTCTAAACATCAGCAGGAGGAGCAGCAGGTTTTACAGTGATTCTGGACATCGTTCTTTTTCTTTCATAAAGTCTCGCGTCTGGCCAAACCAGCGCACAGAGAACATGAGGACAAACACATGCATGTGATTTGTGTTGCTCTACATCAGTCCTCTGGCCCGTACTGTCCTCTACACTGCTCCACAGACTACACAGGGAGAGCATCAGAAGACGCAGACCTGCGCGCACGGTCAGTGTAGATACTCCAAAAAAATGTTACGCGCAGAGAGCGCGCAGTAAACGCGTACGCGCTGTTTACGCCTACTGTGTAAATTCCCCAAGGCATTTTTGGCCATTTCAGCAGTACGCTTTTACCATGTTTTTAACTTGTGTTGAAATGATCGACCCTAACCAAAGGCTATGCTATATTATTAAAAAGCACAAAAACAAATAAACAATTAAATACATACATCCAATACAGTACACACAGGGAAATCCTACATACAAGTCTCTGTAGAAAGAATACATCCCGGAATAGAAAAAAAAAGCGCTTAGCCATATCTCTGCCATTACTGCGTTAATGGGGCTTTATGCACAAAACTAATGAAGAAATACGTTGTTTTGCCAGAGGTGAATGAGACAAAAAAAATAGCCATGCATAATTACACAGGGTCTGCCACAGATTTAGGGAGAAATAGATGGTCACACATTAAGTAAGTAAGTAAGCCAGGTGTATTTGTATAGCGCCTTCACAGACCATGATCACAAAGTGCTTCACATTAAAAATAAAAAATACATACAGATGAAAATAATACACACACAAGTCAGATTTAAAAACGACGAAACAGAAGAGGGTCCTCATCATGAACGTATCATGATCTGTGATTTATTCAAAGTTTGCGTGTTTCCAGAGTGTTTTTCCGATACGCAAATTCAAATTTAGAAACATGATGCTCAATGAAAACGTAGCTTATAATTTTGCCAGAGTGGGAATATGTTTATTGTTGTCCAAATCTTCCCTTTCATGCGAGTTTTGGCGTGTTGTAATGAAGGTTGAAATGAGCGTACACATTTACACCACCTCCTGACTTAGTGTCCACGTCCATATTGATAAATGCCAAAAAGTGTAACTTTTTTGCGTACGCCTCATTTACACCCTGATTAGGCCGTACGCAAGTTTCATAAATGAGGCTCAATCTCTTGTTTTAACTTCTGTCTGAAGGACTGATTATATATTCAACATTTAACCAGTGAACAGGGTTTCCTAGAATGCGTGTGCCAGGAGAACGTTTTTGGAAAATGTCCTGCAGACTTTCTCTTTTGCCAGTTTAGCTTTACATTGTACAGTTAACATTAGAACTCCCAGAGCCATAATTATGACAACTCACAACAGAATTCTGAGAAATGTCTTCCTTATAAATCCCTTGTTTTTCCCCAGATATGTTAAAAGTTAGTCATTTTTAAGGTTGTATCTTCATTCACATTTACTAGGTGTTAGAACCGATGAAAAGAACTTGAATACAGGAAAAATAGTTTGTTGAAAGGCTGATGCTAACGGCTGACAAATAAACATTGGGTTGCTAGGTAACTAGTACTTGCTCTTCTGTGGTGGAAAATCAAGCAGACTTGGCTCAAAAATAGGACCAGTCCAGGACAAGTCCAGGACAGGACCATATTTTGTTGATTACAAAGCAATAGAAAAGGTCTTTGAATTTTAGTTCTAATGATATAGAAACAAAGAACTGATTTAAAAACACTAATTACAACTTATTATAGTAATTACATTTCCAACCTAAAAGCCAATCGACTGCTCTGAGAGTTCTAGTGTTACTGAACCAAACCACGCACATGCTGTAGCAGACTCTTCATAACAGAATTGTATAAACATGACATGATATTTGTGCTCACACAGAAGAGCCTTTTTATCCTTCAAAAGTGAAGACTCAGGGAGAGCTTGGAGCAAATATAGTCAACATGAACATTCCATACGAGCAGGTTTTTGATGTGTACCCCTAAGTCAACCTGGTCAAGTTGCCCTCCTCGGCCAACTGCTAAATTTAGATGACCCAGTTGAACCGAGTTGCTTTTTATCAAATATCGACTCAAACAGCAAAATAACAGCATTTGGCATTTAGTGGCTTCTTTAATAGTTCATTATACTTTGTGTATATGTGTGTGTGTGTGTGTGTGTGTGTGTGTGTGTGTGTGTGTGTGTGTGTGTGTGTGTGTGTGTGTGTGTGTGTGGATTGTTCTTTGTTTCCGTTGGCCAGATGTGAAGATGTGAGCAAGGCACCTGCAGGATCAGCAGCATCTGGACGATGGAGGGCGGGATGCGGGCTCGTGGTTTGGACAGGGCCTCATCCAGCTTCAGGTTCAAAGTAATGATGTTTCTGAAGTGGAGAAGGGCCAGCTGTCGAACTGATGGCTCTTTACCCTGGACACATTTAGTTCACTTTTCAACTTCCCCATGATCGCTCTCAAGCAGAGTAAAGCATAACAAATCTTCTATTCTTTTCAATGTTTTTACAGCCTTTTATACAAATGTTGAGTATTTATAACAGTTATTTCCTGAGGTTTATACTGGAAATTCTAAGATGGTATATTGTATCTGTTAAATACTGCAGTCAAATATGGTAATACAAGCAGGCAATACTCCCATGTTTTAGATATGAAGCTAAAACTGAAGCATTGTGGGCCTCACATGGGACACAGGTGCGTTAGGTGGGTACTGACTGGGGTTGATCTGGGCAAATTTGTTTGGTCCTTAAGGATTTCCCCCAAGTGGACCCTAGATGGGATGCCAATATAGTTAGCTCAATGGGGGCCACCTGAGTCTTTTGTGGGTTGAAACAACACTGGTATTAGCTAAAGCTGGTTTGCCCTTGAACACTTCTTAACCTGTCCCCCCGCCCTTTATAAAGTCACTTTACTGCCCATCATACGTCACTTTACTTCACTGTACTGCTGTCACCTTACATTGTGTGCACCATGTGCACTTGTATATTGTAAATAGTAACTGTAACTCTATTTTAAATTTAAATGTATTCCTTAGAAGTGTTTTTTATTCTTTATTTTTATTATCTCTTTCTGACTGTTGCACTGAGCCAAAGTAATTTCCAAGTCTGTGACTTCCTGTTACTTGGCAATAAAAATGATTCTGATTCTGATTCTGAGTGCCATACTGTTTTTTTCTTATGTGGGCCAAACCCAATTGCCTTTACCTGGAAAGAACCAGATTGAAATATTGCTGCTTGTGAACAAATACTAGCGCTGTCAAAAACTATTGAAGTATCTAAACTAGACTTGTGCAAGCATCTCTACTAGTATAGAGATTTGTTACAACATTAAAACATACAATTTTATCTGTATCTAAATACTATTATAATATCTTTGGCTGGCCTACATGGCTTAAAAATAATGTTATTGGACAAAAAAAGTGTTTCTAACTGCTATTGTCATATAATACCTGCACAGGGTAGAAAATGGCCTGCAGCATGGACAACACGTCGCAGAAGAAGAAGTCCCAGGTGTCGGCCAGGGAGTCTAGTAACTTCTGACCTGGAACACACAAGCAGACAGACACACAGCATCAGAGAGAGAGTAACTGAAAACGGATATGTCCTGTTTGAATGTGGACTGGATAGGTGCACTGGACAAGCAGCAATAGGAAAAACTACTACTTTTTTCTGCTATTATGACTACAGCTTAGTGATGTGCTTTTGTGCATGTAAATTACATGGACTCATTGTTGTTTGAATGGGAAAAAAAATGAAAGTGTGTGAAAATCTGAGTAAAAATGTGTTCTGATTTGAAATGTAATTTACTGACAAACTTTGCTGTGAAACCCACATGACTCAATACTATAGTTTCATGATGTCACCTCGAGCAGATAGGAAGCGCTTCTGCGTCACTCACTCAAACCACAAGCATATATTACTCTGTCCTCCAACCACACATGTCATCGATAAATACCAGCTCTGTGGAAGGATTTATATTGTAGAACATGTTATACTTTAGAAATGTTTTATTATTAATTTTTATTCTTTCTCTACTTTTGACTTGTTTGCACCAAGAGCCAAAGTAATTTCCTAGTCTGTGACTTCTGATGATGATGATTCTGATTCTGAACAAAGTAGTAGTCGTAGCCACAAAAATAGTAGCAGCAGCAGCAATAGTAGTATCAGTTTGTGAACATAAATCAAAAACCCTCACCCTATTCCAAGGTAAAATTAGGTGTGCCACAAGGATCAGTGATCTGCCAAATTCACTTTATATGCTGCCATTAGGCAAATGGCTTAATAAATCAGTTCAATGTGCATAATTCCTTAGTTCAACATGCATAACTCAGGCTTCCATTAGAATGTATGCCATTAACTTCTAGTGCTACACAGATGACAGTGTGTGTGTACCTTCATAAAACCGTATCTTGTCTCGAAGAATGACCATGCCTTTTGTCAGCAGCTGGTTTTGGAGGTATTCAGTAAAGAAAGAGCCCAACTCTGTCTTCAGCAGCTGCCTAAAACACAGCAGTGCAGCAAATATTTTTTTTTAAACACATGATAATGAAGTGTTAAATTGCATAACATTAAAAGTAGAATGTATTTATTATTGTTATTATTATTAGTAGTAGTAGTAACAGTAGCTGTTTGAAAATTAGATTTACCAGTTGTGAAATGAAGATTAAAGTCAGTGCTAATTATGGCATTCAAAGCCTATAAGTGTGCGTCAGACTGAGGTAAAACAGTAACCTTCAATGCTCTAACGTCTAGACTTTGTCCAAAGTTATAATTTTGGTCAATTTCTCTAAAGCAGCCCAACCTCAGTATTTACTGTGTGCTAAAAAAGAGGTTGTAGCTATGCTTGGATTAGTTTTATAAATAAAATAACTTCCCACTGACCTGACGCCTTCGTTTAGTGTGTACAGCTCATTTTCTCCCAGATCCTTCTTCTGGAACACAGCGATCACTGCGTTGTGAATACTACAAGACACAAATAGTGACATCTGCATGAGCAGCAGTCCAGACAAGTCACTTACAGTGTTTTTGTATCTTTTTTTAATTGAGGGACAATCCTTCAGTTTTATAAGGCCAAACACTTTATATAATACAGTAGCTTAAGAATGCATTCTAATGTACCAAGTTTGAAACAGGAACAGTGAGAAAGAAGGGGTGGGGGATGTGTTGTAAGTGTTGGACCAGAAGCTCAAAATAGCATGGATCTAAAACAATCCAGGTCTGTTTTTGATGAGGGAACACTAAGTTGTATCATGGTCAGAAGCTTCTTTATGGCCATGAAAATGATAATGAAATGGTTATTTAGAAGTGTGATGATGAGACCTCTGGGGACACCAGGTGCCACAGTGCGGTGATGCACTGTATAGTGCCAAACTGGTGTTGTGACTGGTGAGTATATAAAAGAAGAAATCCAATGCATAAAACATTCTTAATATAAATGCCCACTAAGAGCCAGACAGAATCATCAAAAAAGCCAAATCTGGCTCACGAGCCATTGATACCTGACCTCACTGGTCAGATAATCCCATATGGAAAACATGTAACCATATTTCATAAAAGTTCCATAAGAGTTGCTTAAAATGTATGAATTACACATACAGTATGAGAGTCAAATAATTTACCCTCATGACACAAATAGTAAACATGACTTTTTATCTGGAAACATTTCCAATGGCCCTGAAAAAGGCAGTCATTAGGCCCCCTCCTAAAAAAGAGCATTTTTGGATGCTGCGGTAGCTTGAAATTACCCGTCCCATCACAAATCTGCCTTTACATGGGAAAAACTGCTAGAAAAAGTTGCTAACCAACAACTTACTGAATTTTTAATATCTAATGACTCATTTGACATGTTTCAGTCCTGGCTTTAGACCACACCCAACCACAGTAACTGAGACCGCTCTAGGCAAGGTAACAAAATGATATTCGGCTTAACACTTGATGCAGGAAAAGGTCACCTCTGTTTAGTCATGTTAGCTCTGTAGTGCCGCTTTCGCACCGTTGACCATGAGATTCTCATCGCAGAGACTGGAGGACTGGTTGGTGTTGCTGGTACCGCCCTAGCTGGTTTAGGTCCTATCTAGAAGAAAGGAAGTACTGTGTGGAGATTGGAAACTATGTCCTCAGATAATAGCCCTGACCTGCGGAGTGCCACAGGGGTCATTCTGGACCTCTCCTGTTCAATATTTACATCTGCCATAGGTCAGTTAATTCAAAGTATGAAAGTGTCCTACCACAATTACGCTGATGACACTCAGATCTATGTCTCACTGACTGCAGGAGAGCATGGACCGGTGACTCACTCCTTCGCTGTATCCAGCGATCAGTGAGTTGGATGCAATCAAATTTTTCTCCAGCTAAATGCGGACAAAACCGAATTGATGTCTTTGGTCCCGAGAAACAAAGAAGAGACCGTCAATTTGTCCCTTCCACCTTACAGTCACTCTCCCTAGGCCCTTAAATAAGGGTCAGAAATCTTGCCCAGAGTCAGGACTAGACAGGGGGAGGCTGCTGCTTTTCAGATCTATGCAGCTAAAGTCTGGAACGGTCTTCCTGAGGATGTGAGACTGGCTGCCTCTCTGTCAATGTTCAAATCCATGTTAAAGACTTTTCTTTTTTCCCGTGCATACAACTAGAGAATTTTATCTTTTTAACACACCTTGTTATTTATTGTTGTAACTTTTTGTGTTTTTAACTATTTTATTGTTTTTAATTACTTGTGTGATTTTTATGTTTTTAAATTACTTATGTGATTTTAATGCTTTTTAATTACATATGTGTTTTTAATTGTATTTTAATGGTGATGATTTGTGCATTGTGTGGTGTGGACTGTGAGGCGCTTTGTGTTGCCCTGTGCAGGAAAAGCGCCCTATAAATAAAGATTGATTGATTGATTGATTGATTGATGATTGAAATGAGCATACTGGTTTTGAACAATGTATAATAAAGGCAATGTTGCCTGTTATTAAGTAATTATTTAGTAATTGTTATTATTGTGTGAATAATGACAATAATAACATTGATAATGTTATTTGCCCTCACCTGCACAGGGCCATCTTCCTCCTCCAGTTGAGACTTTCCTGAAGGTGCAGGCTTCTCCATGAGCTCCACACTGCTCCTGCAATGAGCAATGAAAATACACATAATTAACCGCTTCAGTAAAGAAACACAGCATTTGAAAGGCATTCAAAATCAAACATTATAAAAAAAAAATGAGATGGTGTGGGGTGATGATGTGACACTGCAAACATGTTGGACTGCGATGGCATCTGCTGTGCATGTTTGAAGTAGACTGTAAGGAATAGAAAGATGTCATCGCAAATAGATGAGACCAACATGGAACCTTTTGAACCAAAGCAAACTGGAATCAAAACAGTCACTGGTCATCACCCTCAGTGCGCAATCCTCAGTATCAAATATGGGGATGGCAAGATCATGTTATGGAGCAGCTTTTCTTCAGCAGGGACAGGGAAGAGTGTCAGAGTTTATGGGAAGGTGGATGGAGCAAAATGAAAGAAAATTATTGGAAGAAAAGCCGCTGAATTGGGATGTTTACCCTAAACATGTTCAAACAATAAGTCGGTAAAAAAAAAACATTGTGGGACTGGATTCACCTTCCAGCAGCAGCGGGACAATGACCTGAAACACAAAGCTAAATCTACAATGGAATGGTACAAAACAAATGCATGTGTTCGAATGGTCCAGTGAAAGTCCAGACCTGAAGATTTCTGTTTAAAAATGCTCTGCATCTAATTTGTCATTCTCTAGATGCGCAGGGCTTGTCTGTTTATCTTGCTTAAGTTCAGTTAAAAGACTGCTTTTTCAAACTAGTCTATGATGAATGCGCATGTACAGAGCCCGTGTATAAAACCTCCTCACCCCCTCACTCTGGCTAAAATAGTGTGTATTAGTCGGAAGCATGAAACGGGGGTACAGTATGTGAGGGATTCTTAAGAGCAGGAGGAGTCTGTAGAGCAGGTTTTGTTGCATTGCAGCGGATATAGTGAGTGCAGGGAGGTAATGAAGGAGAGGCTTAAGAAACTGGGGGTAAAGGAATTTAATTTAAAGAGTGGTTTGGGTACAGGAGGGAGTGCACAAGTGAGGGCATTAGTGTTGTTTTTTAAAGGAAACCGGGTTATACAGCAGAATATAGATATAGTGTAGTTATTTTATATTGTTATTGTTATTTTTGTTTAATGATTATTATTATTTTATTTTAATTGTTTCCCTTGGTGGGACCACAGGCTACCAGTCTGTGGGGTATGAGAGTGTGAGCCTACTGACCCATTCTACGGAACAGAAGGTGGCGGTATGCGCTAACAATTGGTCGCCAACCGCTGACAAAAAAACCCAAAAAGAAAAAAAGACTGGCTGACCACTGTACCAGGTTCAACCAACCACACCTATGGTATCAGACCCTGAAACTCCACAGGACCCCTTTTTACCTGCACTGTATCTGCATGGAACTGCATGAAACTACGAACTACTGTAGCTTGTAGAGATTGCTCTCTACAATCCTCTCTGTAGGATTCATTTGGAGTTTGAAGATAATGAAGCAGAACCAGTCGTCAAAAGTATTGGCTCTAAATTATTAATGTGAAATTATTCACGTCTTTACAAATGTGTGGCTTAGATTAGGTTTTAAAAGGGGGCTATTCTCATTAAAAACTTGAAATGTATTTCCCACCTTTGCAATGTGTTTTCGTGTTATATTAGTAATAATATCAACGCTTCTGATTGGCCAGTAAAATGATGACGTACTTGTAGGGGTCACAGCTCTCGCCTCACTGTTTACGGCTATGCTCCTGCTGCCGCTTTGACACAAATAAACCTTAAAATGGGTGTATTTTGTATGGCCCCGGGATGCAGCAATGGAAGTTACCAAAAGAAGAGTGTAAACAGCAGTCCCTATGATCTTTGACTTATTCAGAGAAGGTGACGGTCCAAAAACAATCTGAGAGAAGACACCAGCGCCAGTCGATGAAATTAGTTCTATCAAGCTCCAACTAAATCCAAATTTAAGAGTTTCAACCCAGTATTCAGCAGAAAACACAACAACTGTCCATGTTTCACTCTAACTACGTTTAGTAAAAGATAAAGACCATCATGTTTTAGACTTTAGAACCACAGACACACGATTAGTATAAGACTTTAGAACCACAGACACATGTTCAGAATAAGACCATAACACTACATGTTTGAATTTGATTGAAGACACTCACCATTTCTCTCAAACCCAACATCTGGAGCTGGGACATAGAATTGAGGCTTCTCTCTCTGAGTTGCAGGTATTGACCATAGACTGTAAATATTAACGGACGTAGTCACGCCTATCTCCGCGAGTGGCCGGCGCAAGCTCCATTCATTTAAACGAGTGACTTCAAAAATTCACAGCGAGTAAACCAGAGTAGTCCAAAAAAATCCACTCCCCTCAGCATTGACACACATGTGGAACGGAGCTTTGGGCCAAGAGCCAACTTTTGGTTCATCCTGTAAAGAAGTTTTTGAGAGGTAAGAAGATGCTATATGTTAGCATTGGCTAATTCTTCTTCTGGGTTCACCCCCATCGGCCCGGGGTGGTATTGCAAGTATGTCAGCGCACGTCATTTTGGCCACTTTTGAGCTGGGGCCCGCCCCCACTGGTACTGACGTGTTTGCTGGTGTTAGCGTGTTAGCTGATGTCCGTAAAAATAGTGCTAATCCTTTGAAGCTTTGCAGATTCATGCTAAGATCTGGAACAATCTTCCTGAAGATGTGAGACAGGCCTCCTCTCTGACAATGTTTAAAACCAGGTTAAAACAGTGCTGTTTAGCTGTGCATACAACTGAGGGATTTTATGTTTTTATCTTTCTTTTTAATGTTCTGTGATTATTTATGATTTTAATGCTATCTTGTTCAGCACTTTGAGTTGCCTTGTGTATGAATTGTGCTATACAAATAAACTTGCCTTGCCTTGCCTTAATCCATCTTGTCTAACCACCTCCAGACTTTTCAGTTCTGTCACTTTTGCGGCTGGGATCTTTAATTTCACGGTAGTCACTTTTACGCTTCTTAACTTTTCTCTGCACTGCGATGTCAATGATATCCATTCCTTTGTCTCTAGCGCTACCTTCGCTAACACTTATTTACACTCACTCGGGTGCACCATCGAGCTCAAACTGACCGCATCCGCAAACCGGGTCGAGACGGGTCGGACACGGTTGGACCATAGATCCATACTCCAGCCCGTGGAAACGGCCCTAATGTTCGCAAATGTTAAGTTCTTGAAGCTTGCTCCTCATCTGAACCGAGTCAGAGTCCTCAAAATCAAAATTACTGTCATAACAAGTACGCAAGGGCTCATAAATAAAAGCCCCTGACTTGTATTGTCCATCACTGAATGACAAATACAAACGTCCGTATACAACGTTATGGCTTACAAATGCATATGAACAAAGCCCATTGACCCCTACGTGTACGTACCTTCCGGTCTCTGCAATTTTTCTGCGAATGTCTTTTTGCATGATAATTATAGATAAAAACCGCTATGGGTGAAACTTATGAGTTTTATTTAACACAAAAAAGACCACAAAATAAGATTAGGTCCCTTTAAATCCCGCAGAACTTCCCATTTCTTTCACTAGATGGGAGTGTTGCACATCTTGGCCTGAGTTTCAAATTTTATTTTTTCATTTTTATACGTACACACACCCTTTTCTACTTATTTCACATTCCATGAAAAACAGCTCAAAGTGCTACAATGTACGTCTGTCTTCACATTTTTCATGCAGTAAGGATGAGGCCAAGGTATGTTACAGAGGAACCATGTTTATTGATTTTAACGGCGTGAGAGTGAAGGAGGCAGCAGTCAGGTTTGATGATACTCCCACATACAATATGGAGCCATGGCACTTAAACAGAGCACCACAGTCTGCTGTCTGATTCACTTATGGAAACTAATGGCGATAACATGCTTTCGTTTGCTTTATATGAAGACCTGTGGTTCAAGCTTATATATTTTGTTAGAGGCATTTATATTAAAATGTCTAAAAATACAAAAAGAGTTCATTTCAAATCATCAAAAAAAATTTACTAAAAGGGTTGCATTTCTGGTAAATTTCCATAGGAAGTTAGGTTGGGGAATTTTATTTAATTTGTAAAAACATCTCCTACATCGGTGTTGGTGATTCTTCAAATCATGTTCTTTGACAAACAAATGTTACTCTGGTAGAAAAGCATGATAGTTCCTCTTTGAATTTAAATCCTTTAGCCTAACTTTTTTTGTTTTTTTTTTTTAAACAGTTGCCTTGCAAATGTACTGTGCTATACAGATAAATTTGCCTTGCCTGCTAATTATGCACTGGGCTTTAAATAAACAGAGACAGTCCACACACACACACATTGCCTAGGACACAAACTCTCTCTAGAAAAAGAGCTGAGGATAAATGCAGGCGATCAGCTGAAGGCATCGACAACAGAAAAAGCATCATTGACTTTAAGGCAGGGTCATATTCCATTATGTGTGTCTATGTTTTATTCTCAGTATGTTTTGAGCATCAGACTTGTCTTTTAAAAACAGCCTAATGATGTAAAACATTTACTACACAAAACATGTAACTTACTTGGACTGCTGCGACTGCTGATGAACCATTTTCTATACAGAATATCGATAGTTTCTATACAGTTGCTCCATACAGAATCCAAAACATGAATGCTGAGAGATTTGAAGGAGAGCAGTAAGAGTGTAACAAATAACCATGACACAAGAACACAGAATGAAAAGCAATTGTAGAGTGTTTCTAGAGGCGCAATTAAACACCTTAAAAAAAAAAATCCTTTATCTAAACAGTGATCACCTCCAAAGCTGTTTTAGTTGTTTTCCTCTCAGACAAACCGACACTTGTTTAATCACTTTACTTCCAGATGATAATATTATGTCCTTTTGGTCCAGTTAAGATCCAGTCTCATCTGAGTTATAAACAAGAGTCAATTAACAAAATAAGCAACACAAAATGTATTAATGTATATATATGGACTCTATCTTTAGTGGATGTTTGGATCATTGTTGTGCATTGTGTATTCAAACACTCAAACAAGCCATCTATTTTTAAAGAAATAGGAACTTGATGAAGAAGTGAAAGGCCCATATCTCACTGTGCCAACACAAACCAAAGAGGAAGTGTGCAAATGTGGTCAAGTCAAAAATCTGAGTCGCCAAACTCGCTGCTCTCAACTGACAGGAAGAGGCTTTGCAACATGGAATATTCCACAATATTGCACCTCTTTACAACAACCGGCGCGCCGGCGGCTGTTTTTATGTTTTTAAATGTTCTGCTGGCAATAGCAGATGTATTTTGAACACCAAACCCCAAAAGCTGTATATCATTTTAAAGCTTATTTTCTTATCTACATTTATATACAAGTGTAAACAAAATAAATCAATTCCGAAATAGTTTTTTACCTTTGGGCTTGTGCTGTACAAATAAATCAGCTCTCCTCCCAGCTTGCAATACATCATTCTCTCTGGAACAGTCCAAAGGAAAATTATATCCACTTGTATTTCCCAAAGTAAAATCCATTCTGCAGAAATAATCCAAAAATGTGCATTTATCTTTAGCGAAAAAAACGAAAAAAAAGAGCACAGATGTTACTCTTTCACTTTTAACGGACTTTTAGCTTTGTTTTTCACCCAAAAATCTGATATCCACGTGTTCCTTAGCTCCTTATCTTTCAAATGAGACTACTCCCGAAAAGCTAGACCAATTTTTGGGTCTGCAAGAGCTCCTGCAAGAGCTCCCGCAAGTACAGCTTGCGCTGCTGTTTGCGCATGGATCACTGATCTTTTGTGGGGTCCCAACTTGTTTGCTTTTACTTCCGGGATTTACGATTGACATGTCCTTGTAGCCAATGAGGAACGCTTTCGAACAAGGGGTGGGACAATGGTGTCCTGTCTTATGTTGGGCCTGGACAATTGTGCGTAATGGAAGCCAAAAGACGCTCTCGAAGCTGCAATGAATTTACACTCATAAAAAAATAACTTTGACATTTAAAAAAGAAAAACACACATAGATTAGTAACTTATAAGTACCAATACTAAAAAATATCGTTTTTATGATGATTAAATGTAAGTAAAGATATTTACTAGTGCAAATGTGCACTACTTGATGAAAAGGAGAAACTGCATAAAAACTATAAAACTTAGAAGTCTGAAACTTTAGACAATTGTTGTCAAAAACACAATGAACAGAGGGTTTGAATATTGTGAACTTACAATGAAGTATGCCTTTTTTAGGGCCTTTAGAAATTGAAAATGTTAGGCGAGGCTAAAAAAATTGGGGTTTTTTCCCTAACTTCAAAGGATGCAGAGGAAAATAGGAATGACAAACATTATTTTAGTGTTTTTTTACATAAACTAGAAGGCTCTAGCTTTAAAATGATGCATCACACAAGCATGTGAGATGTAAGATGTGTTTTTAAATAAGCAAAGACATTTGGGTATGCCCAACTTTTGTGCACGAGCCAAAATGAGGCGGGTTTTAAGAGGTTAAACTGACATGTTGGCGCAGATTTGTGAAGGTTGAAGGGAATATATGGTTTTCTTTATTGTCAGAGTAACTCATATCATTCTAACTTTTACCTGGTGGTGAAATTTGAAGAAATAAATTAGGGCTGAGAAATACTGGGATCCTCAGGAACATGATACAAATTGCAATACACGGCTCACAATACAATATCATCACACTGTGGCCATACTGATATGTACTGATTATTGACATCTTGCTCATATAATTTCCAACGTTACATAAAGATATGTCCCATCAAAATAATTGTTAATTCCTTGGTTTTTGTTGTGTATTTACTGCTTTTTTCTGAATAAAATACAATAATATACAGATACATTGTGCTTGGATTAAAACTGAAATAGTAGAAGGCTGGGTATTGTTCTGATTTACAGATACATTGTCCAACTTAATTATCACCCATGGCCTTTTGGGTTAAAATAAACAGCAGCAGAGCTGGTGTAGCCTCTGGGTGGAGCAGGACAAGTCAGAAGGTGGAGTAGCTGCTTGGTTCGAACCATTTTCTCTGCTCTGGTCCAAAGTGAAGTACTCAATGCTTCATTTTTCAAAGTTAGCATTTCTTCAGTGCAAAACCATGAACACTGTGCAGCAGCAACATCTCAGGTAGAAAAACAAACAAAAAATGAAAATTGTAAAGCACAAATAAACAACTTTTTCAGAGTTACCGTTTACAGCGCATTCAAAAGTAAAAAACAAATTTAGATCAATTTGATTTACAAGGATTAAAACCTAAAATCCATCAACATATTTTTGGTACGTTTCAGTTTTAAAAGTGTCTAAAAGTGTTTTTTTTTACCTTTAAATAAATATGAATGTAGTGCTTGTGAGCTGGTCAGCCCTGAAAAAGTTTTAGTATGATTTTTCAACTAAAATGCCTCTGTCCATTTCGCAGCTCCAAACAAGAAGTCTGTAGAGCTGTAAAACATGTATCTTTCGACATTTGTTGCATAATTCAATGTTATACTATTATAACTCTTATCTATCTGGGGAACACTCCATCCATGCAAAGCAATGACATCTCCACAGCAACGGGCCCCTCAAAAAGTTACGCAATGCACCTTTAAAGGCAAGCTATGACACACTCTCCTCGCTGGCTTTGCCAATCCCTCCAAAAAGCAGCCTTGTTATTTAGATCCGTGTTTTAATCCATCAAACTCGAATCACGACGAACACAATCAAACACTATGTTCAGTGACACAGGTAAATCGGCACGTATCGGACTCACCGATCCAAACAGCACGGCAGCCTTCTCCTCAGCTCGTCATGTTTGACAGCATTCACGGCTTTAGCAGGTTTACGCAGGCTTCAGCAATTCCCACGCACTTTGCATCGCTCCAATACCGAGGCGCTGCTCGGACAGGGAATACGGGGAAATGTCTTATAAATGTCCTGATCTACGAGAAAGAATGAGCAGCGTGATGTTTGCTAGACTAAAGGTAAGCAAGGGATTAATGCAATGCGCTTTGTTAAAGGCTAGAGAGAAGAGGGGAAGTATTGACTGTGGCGGCCATCTTGTGTGTTCCAGAAATAAGGTAAAGGTGCACTTTATTTAACTCTGTAGGGCAATCCTCTGCATTTGAGCCATCCTGATGGAAGCCTATCAGGAGCAGTGGTCGCCGTTCTACCAGCTCCTCGGAGCTGGGGGATTTTACTTATTGCGCATGTTTTTAGTGGTAGGGGAAACCAGAGCACCCAGAGGAAACCAAGACAAGGAAATATAAACTCAGGAAACCAACCATACCCTGTAAATATGAAAGGACGTAGTCACGCCTATCTATAGACTTCCTCTCGGACCGACCACAGCACGTGCGGCTGCGCAGCTGTGAGTCTGAGGTGGTAGTCTGCAGTACTGGGGCCCCTCAGGGCACTGTCCTCTCACCGTTTCATCTACACTTCAGGCTTCACATACGACACACACAGATGCCACACTCAGAAGTTCTCCGACAACTCTGCCATCGTGGGCTGTGTGTGCGAGAGGAAGGAACTGGAATACCGGTCGGTTGTCGCGGACTTTGTCGACTGGTGTGAGCGCAACCACTTGTGCTTGAACACCAGTAAGACCAAGGAGATGGTAATCGACTTCAGGAGGAAACCACTTTCCCACACGCTGCTGAACATCCAGGGGGAGGACATTGAGCTGGCGGACAGCTTCAAGTACCTGGGTGTTCAGATCAACAATAAACTGGACTGGTCCCATGACACCAACGCCCTGTAGGTGGACCAAAGACGCCTCATCCTTCTGAGGAGGCTGAGGTCCTTCGGAGTGAGCAGGCCTCGGATCAGGACCTTTTATGACTCTGTGGTAGCTTCTGCCATACACTACACCAGTGTTTTTCAACCACTGTGCCGCGGCACACTAGTGTGCCGTATGATATTGTCTGGTGTGCCGTGAGAAATTCGTCTACTTTGTCTAAAAATAGCTGCATTCGCTGTTGACGAGCGGTGACTTGTTTTGAACTGTGAGTAACCATGTAATACTTTTTCAAATCAGTAGATGGCAGCAGATAGCTAAGTACTTTGAAACTGAAAAATTGGATGCGACCACTGGCTGTAACAGGTCAGCATTGTGGCGAGAAAGGTAAAATTGGATGCGACCAACAAATGTGTGAGGGAGCGAGACAAGAGCTTTGTGGCGAGTGAGAAGTGAAAGTGATAGAGACGTTTTTGAAAATGAATTATGCCGTTTCTGAACAGGATTAACATCCTCCGCTCTGCCCCGGGGCAGCTGTGGCCGCGTTGTAGTGGTTTAACTATGAAATGTACGATTTTTGTACAACAGCTCTCGCGAACGCACTTCTGAACTGGGTACCGAGCGCAGACCATAGTCGAGTGGACAGAACCACAGACATGCGGACCGGACAGAACCATGGACTCGCGTTCAGGACCTCCCGTGTCCCTCATCCAAAACTCCTGAATTTAAAGCTCGGATACCAAAATGTTTCCCATGCACTAACAATGCATGTTCTTTGTGTGAGTTATTATTTGACTATTTGGGCAGAGAGTGGATTTTCTTAGTTTTTTTCCACACAGTTAGTGCCACTTTATTCCCAAACTCTTGTTAATTGTATCGAGAAATATTAAATAAAGCTTAATTTCAAGGCCTGGACTTAAGCATTTTGATGAGAATAACTGTATATTGTGAATATAGGCTACAGAGTATACTGTATACATTATAAGATAAGATATACTTTATATATCACACAGAGTATGTACAGTATATATTTTTTTACATTAGTACTGTATACATTTTTTCATTTTCTCCTGGAGGTGTGCCGCAAGATTTTTTCAGTGAAAAAAGTGTGCCTTGGCTCAAAAAAGGTTGAAAAACACTGCACTACACTGCCATTTGCTGGGCCCCTGGCAGAACAGAGCGGCTCAGGAGTAGAGTTCAGGAGTGCTCCCTGGACTCTGTGGAGGAGGTGAGGGACAGGAGGGTGCTAGCCAAAGTCACCTCCATCATGAACAACACCTCCCACCCACTGCTGCACAGGACTGTAGAGGAGCTGAGGAGCTCCTGCAGTGGAAGACCGAGGCACCCTCAGTGCAAGAAGGAGCGCTACTGCAGGGCCTTTATCCCCACTGCTGTCAGACTGTACAATAAGTCACTGCACAACCTGCTCTTTTTTTATTGCCACTTTTTTATTGTACATAATTATATCCTGCACAGACTTTATTTTTAAGTTTGCACACTTCTGTCTTTTGCACATCTGAGTGATTCTATCCATGCCAAATGTGACATGTAAATTTCTCTAGTGTGAGATCAATTAAGTCTATCTTATCTTATCTTAAAAGTGGGTCAAGGAGGAAGCATCTGCAGTCCTGTGGAAATTGTATTATTGTGGACAATTTTAAAATCAAAGGTGTACACTGTTTGCTTCTATTGCTCTTTAGAACAGCTTTTTTCAGACAGAAAAGTGAAAGAGGACAACCCTCACTCAGCCAATCAGCTCTCAGACCAATTAAGAGAATCTTTATTCGTCCCACAGTGGGGAAATTTCAGTGTTGCATCACAAGTTATAGAACAGTAGGAAAGAGGAGCACACAGCACAAGATAAGTGAGCAATAGCTGTACTAATTAAAATAAAACAAAATCTCAAACTATAATCAATCAGTAACAAGTATAACAACTCAATCTTGAAAATAATAATAAATAATGTGTCGAATTGTGTGATATACTCATATTGTCATGTTTTTTAATAAGAGTCAGTTTTTCTGTAATCATTTTATATTCCTTTATTGGATAAGTGCACATAATACTACAATAGTGTCTTATTTGTATGACATACTCTAAACAATCCAGCAGATTGTTACTATAGTATTAGCTCATTTACCATGACAACGCTCTCTCTAGTCTCGTCTCTTACCATCACGTAAAAAGTTGCTTTTTAACAATGACTCGAAATCCATGTCTAAATTGTGTAAAGGACAACTTCTCTCTTACACTCACTTTACAACAGTTCAGCTTGATTCCAAATAGAGAACATAAATAGAATACAAATGAAAGTGTTTGCACTGTGCTCACCGATGACGCTGACATCTCACGTCTTGCACCTGGACTTTGGAGATCAACTTTGGCGACAAGAAGCAAAACGCGAGTGTGCCGCGCGAACGTAACGTGAAAATCATACCGCGTTGGTGCTTATTACCATTATTTGATAGTCATTATGTTTGTATGTGTTTGGAATGGGGCAAGGATACGGACATTTTACTATCCATGGAAGTTTGTAGTGCACTTCCCGTCCGACGCTTTCAAATGCGGTAGGAAAGCGGACAACGATAAGTTTGTGTAAGCCCTCAGTCGTACAGGGATTAGTCAAAGCAAAGGAAGGTTTCTCACCCATCATCTGTACTTCTTAGCAAGTTTTCCCGAAAACTTGCTAAGAAGTACAGATGATGGGTGAGAAACCTTCCTTTGCGTAGGAAAGCGGAGTTACCAGTTTTCCACAGTGCAACATCTAGGGGCCCACATTCAGATTACAGCTCAGATTGGTCGGGACCATAGACTGTTTTATACTAGCCTGGTCTTACCACAACATCGTATTAATTTCATTGCAAATAATAATTGACCGGAGTTTACGGATGGCGAATGTCAGGATAGTATTATACATGTACGCAAACTTGAACTGAAAGACCCTGTTCCGATTGGGATTCGAACCTGGGACCTTCTTTCTGAACTATAACAAATTGAATTTGCGTATTATGTAACTACATTTACGTGTACATGATATTTAATTTTGTTTAAAAGTACAGCGGGAGGAAAAAGTATTCAGTCTGCCACCAGTTGTGTAAGTTCTCCCACTTAAAAAGATGAGGCAGGCCTGTAATTTTCATCATAGGTTACCTCCACTGTGAGAGACCTAATGAGAGAAAAAAAACAGAATTTATTTGCAAATTATGGAGAAAAATTACTATTTGGTAACCCAAAAACCAGCAGGATTTGTGACACTCACTACTTCTATAAGAGGCTCCTCTGTCCTCCACTTGTTACCTGTATTTATGGCAGCTGCTTGAACTCGTCATCAGACTGAAAGACACCTGTCCACAACCTCAAACAGTCACACTACGCACTATGACCAAAACCAAAGAGCTATCGAAGGACACCAGAAACAAAATTGTAGACCTGCCCCAGGCTAGAGCAGAGCGCTGTCCACTCAGCCACCATGCCGCCCAAGACCACTATCTCCCTCGATCTTGGGCTTCATGCAAGATCTCATAGCCTGGCTCTGCCAGACCCTTGTAGTTCCGCCATGCTCCACCAGAGGCGTTTGGCTGAACCACATGGACCTTCATGTGTGAAGTGCAGCAAACTACATGGGTCTGGCAAGAGTCAGACTAAAGATCTCACCCCGTGGGGTCAAAATGGTCAAGAGCAGTTAGTAAAAATCCCAGAACCACACGGGGGACCTGGTGAATGACTTGCTAACAGTTTGCTAGAGAGCTTTTGGATGATTCCGAAGATTGGGAGAATGTCACATGGTCAGATTAAACCAAAATAAAACCTTTTGGTTAAAACTCAACTTGTCATGTTTGGGGGAGAGTTTCAATGACAATGATCCCAAACACACCGCCCGGGCAACAAAGGAGTGGCTTCGTAAGAAGCATTTCAAGGTCCTGGAGTGGCCTAGCCAGTCTCCAGATCTCAACGCCATAGAAAATCTTTGGAGGGAGTTGAAAGTGTGTGTTGCCCAGCAACAGCCACAAAACATCACTGGTCTAGAGGAGATCTGCATGGAGGAATGGGCCAAAATACCACTGCGCACTGCCCAAGCGATGAGCGCGTTGCCATTCTATCTATAAACTGCTACATGTGGACAGGGCAGTGAGACCTTTGGAGTGAGAAGACCACAGTCCATCCGTGTGTTTATGGGGTGTGTGAGGCTTTCACAAAACTAATGAAAAAATACATTGCTTTGCCAGATGTAAATGAGCCAAAACAAATACCCGTGCGTAATTACGCAGTGCAGGGCCTGCCACAGATTTACAAAGAAATAGATGGGTCACACATCCCTGTTGCGTGACCCAACAGGGATGTGTGACTAACCCATAAGTTAGTAAGTAAGTAAAGTGTATTTGTGTAGCGCCTTTCATAGACTGGGATCACTGAGCGCTTCACATTTAAAAAAATACAGAAGAAAATAGGGCTGTGCAATATGGCAAAAAAGTAAAATCTCGATTTTATTTCCTGCTTTGGACAATTTCAGTTTTAAATTGATTTTCATTATAGTCAGACAGACTTTGACCTTAAAAATATTTTTTTCCGCTCTATATTCCAAGTTTCAAAACTATGTTTAATTTGTTTCCCCAACACGTATGTCTTGTACAGACTGTGCTGATATTGCAAGTATAATTCATGTGCTGCTGGAACTCTCACAATATCCTTCATTAGATTTCACGATTTTCACAAAATACATTTTTTCAAAAGATGATTAATTGCCTTAATTTGATGTATTGCCCAGCCCTAGATGAAAATAATACAAGTCAGATTTAAAAACAAAGAAATAGAAGATGGTCCTCATCATGAACTGTGATGTTTCCATCGGACATTTTCTGATAAATTCTAATTTCAACATTTGATGCTCAATGAAAACGCATCTTATAATTTTGCCAGAGTGGGAATATGTGTATCGTTGTCCAAATCTTGAATTTCATGCGTGTTTTGATGAAGGTTGAGATGAGCAAATACATTTACACCACCTCTAAACTTGGCGTATATTCTGTACGCTCAGACTTTATAAATCCCAAAGTGTACTTTTTTGCGTACGCCTCATTTACATCCTGATTTGGCCGTACGCAAGTTTCATAAACGAGGGCCAATGTGATTATTTTTCTCATTCTGTCTCAAAGTTGACTTAAAGCTATGATGAAATTAAAGGCTTCCCTTTGCTTTTTAAGTAGAACTTGCACAATTGGCTGACTACCGGTACATACTTTTTTGCCTCATTAAGTGTAAGTAGTACTCGTTTACCAAATTCTAACAATTTAACACTGGTTATAATTACTACTAGTAATCTATTTTGTACTTTTATTTTAAAGCATGCCTTGTATCTATTTTTACTTTTAACATTTGTTTGCACCAAGAGCCAAAGCAGTTTCCTAGATTGTGAGGAAGGTTTGGTAAAAAGCAATGTAAGACCTATTAAGACTGAGAAAAATGTATGAACACATTTATTACAAAACTAAAAATACTTGAAATTATAAAAATGGTAAAATGCACATGAGTGAATGAGGAAAAACATTTCTAAATTCAGATTGACAAACTTTTTAAAATAGCTATCAGAATGTGCAGAAAGCCATTTTAAAAAGAGTATTTTTTTAGCGGAAGCTCCACAATTGGAACGGTGCCATCTAATTATTGTTTTGCTTGGAATTGTCTTCTCACAATGGAGAAAGTAAACACTTTTCCATTTTTAAATTTTGGAAAACTAGCAAGTGACTTTGCATATATTACTTAAATTAGTTAAGCAGATGTAAGAATTTGGGGTTTTGAGCAATAAAAACATTTGTCACTTATTATTTTACCAGTATTATTTAAACAATGAGAAAACATTCCAAGTAAAGCAATAACATCTCAAAGGCAACAGGCAAGGAGTGGATCCTGGCAAAAAAGTTGCGCAGGGCTCCTTTAAAGTCCAGGCCTGGTTTTGTTTTGAGCAAGATATTCCTGTGATGACATTGGAATAATTTTTATTAACATCTTGTGGTCAGTGGTCTTTCTGATCCCCGTCCTCCTCCAGTTTCCGGATTTCAGATTTGAGGTGGTTGATGTTTTCTCGACTAGCCTTTAGTTTGTCTTTGAGCTCTGTGATCTCCTGGTTAGTTTTCTTCTTTGCAGCCTCGACTTTCTCTTTTGTCTTCTGTTCCAGTTCACCAACTTAAAAACATACAAAACATTAGTTTATACTATAAAATTATCTAATCTAATTTTATAACAAAGTGTCTGGAATTTTATAAGAACCCTAAGTGAAATATAATTATGAAAAAGAAGCATTCAGTCCGAAAAGCTTTTCCACAAACATTATCGGTTTTAAAATCTACTTGTCTTCGTCACCCGTATAATTCATTGGGAAACCCATGAATGTGGTCAAATGTGCCAAAGTTAGACACAGTAGCTACATCAAAAGACTTTATCAGCTTGTTATAAAAACTGATTATACAATAACTACAAGTTTATTATACAATACCAACTACAAGTTTTCCCAATGACAAAATAGATAAGTTTTTTGTATAAAAAACTAAAATATTGGCACACTTGTATGAGAATGAGAAGACATGTTTAGTGAGTTCCAACATACATTCAGTCTCATGTTTGTATGCCCCCAGTGTGAGCTGTCTGGATGTTGTCAGAAGCTGCTGCATCATTGCTGTAGGATCCTGGAAGATCTGCAGAAAACAAACACTTTACTCCAGTTCCATTAATCACAAATACAAGTTCTCTTTACCATTTCATCATAAAACTCTGACACCACAGTCTTCTTGGGCAAAGCACTGGAGTCCGACTGGAACAGCTTCAGGAGGTGGTACAGTGTGACCTGCAGCAGACAATATGCACTAGATTGTGAGATCGGTACAGTGGGGGACACGGGCTCCTTTGTGGTGCCACCTGCATGTGAGAGGCGGATCATGTTGGATCTCTGAAGCTCAGGGCAGGACTGGGTTAGTATACTGTGATGGGAGACCTCTGGGGATACTACTGTAGGTACCTCAGTGACTGTGGTTGTAAGTGCCGAACTGTCATTGTGTCTTTAGGCAAGTCACCAACATTGCAGAGTATGAATCTGGCTTGTGAGTGAATGATTATTGGTGCTCTGAAAGGCCAAAGCTGGTTGCCTCACTTCTATCCATCTGCCCCAGGGCAGGTGTGGCTACCGTGGTAGCCATTGTGTATAGAGTGGATGAAAAATTACATGTGAAGAATGTTTTTGAGTGTTCAAAAAAGTGTTACATTAAAAAAAAAGTTTATAAATATATAAAACCGATGCATCATTAGTGCATATAGTAAGTGGGATCTTACAGGCCGCTCATTGGGGTCAATAAAGAAGATCTTGATGACGATTTCAAACTCTCCCCAGCCAGTCTCTGTGATTTCGTAGGGAGGGTTTGTCACCACTGAAAGTAAAAAAAAAAATCAAACATTGCTTGAAAAACAGTAAAAAACATAACAAAAAACAATGTAGGGCAGGGGTGTCCAACCTATAGCCTGAGAGCCAACAGTAGCTAATCACCCACTTTTAGGTAGCGCTCCAATGGATTCAGGAATTTATATTTGTTTAGTTTAATAAATGTTAAAGTGCACAAATGCAGTTTAATTACAAGTAACCGCCATAGTTATTTGTAAGTCATTATATTGACATTTTAATGAGACCACAAAAGGGCAAAGCTCTCTGCCATTACCGTTTTGCAAAAGTAGCTCTTGGATCAAAAAAGGTTGGAGATCTACAATTTAGGGATTCCAAAGACACCAACCTCTCAAAGGGTTCCCATAGCTCTCGTGCAGTTTAAATTGGATCTTCTTGACATAAGCAGACATGTCCTAAAAAGCAGGAAAGATGAGGAATAATTAAGTCTTACTGAAAGAAATGAGAAATTATTTCTCCAAGATATTCATAAAGGAATAATACTAAAAGGAGTGATGCATTGATGATATTGAAATCGATGAAAAATATCTATTAAAACAGCCCTGCTAATAGGGGAAAACCGTCAGTGGGTGCAATACATTATAATGGGGTTCCACAAAGTACCAGTTATCAGTTTACCATGTATGTTGTTCCACTTGAGTTGTCTGTTACTTTAATTAATGATGTATAATGTTTGTCTTATGTTTAATGCTTGGAAGGTTCTTTTAATAAGACAAAATGTAAAGAAGCTAATACTACTTAATTATTCTGACAAAGGCGGCAGTCCTGTCGAGTAATTAAGCAGTGATACAGTCTTCACATTGTATTCTTATTAAAGGAACCTTTAAAACCAATTCACACATTTAATTACTTTACGTGTCTTTCTAGGGATACAAGGTTGCCTTACAGAATGGATGACATGTACATTTTAAAACAGTTAAAATACAAAGTTAAATGAAGCATGAACAGAGGATGGTATAGTTCTGCTCTAAGTGAATAGGCAAGTAAACAGATGAGTTTTGAGGGTGGATTTGTTTTGGTGGACAGTAAACCCAATTTACGTATGAATCAAAGTTTTGAACATTATTAGTAACACCTATAATACACCAATGTGTCAATTTAGTTTGTCTGCATCGATCAGCAGATACTAATCAGCAGATAAGTCTTTCAAAACATTGTAAATAAGGTGTCAACAATACGTTTTTACAAGGTTTTGGAATATGTTCCAATGTTTTAATGCCATGTCATAATTACAGTTGATTTCTTAAACATGTCGTAAGTCAATCTAATAAAACTTTTCCAGGATCTAGGAAGTTGACTTTTATTTCAGTATTACACACTGAAGATAAAGCTACCTTTCCTCCATATCTTCTAGTCTTTTCAGTTTTCCCTTCAAAAGTGAAAACTTGTAATGAAATACAATCACAAGGCGACTAATACATTGGGTCGAATTATAAATCATGGTCCTATTAATCGCCTACATTTTGACAGGCTTCACGTTACCTCGTTTCTGTAGGGCTTCACGTACACGGACCACTGGTGAGTATGGCCATCCTCTTCTCTTTTCTTTCCAAAGTAACGCGCTACATTTCCAAACACAATTGGTTTGACAATCGTAATCCCCTGCAAGACAATGCAGAACAACTGCATTACAATATGGTCCCACGTTTTGTTGTTTACCATAATGAAAGAACAGGTCCACGCTGTTACCTTCACCCTTCCCCCGGAGTCTGGACCGAATTCACTCATCTTTTTAAACATATTACAGGGAGAGCAGAGGGCGTATGCTTCTGAGATGGTGGAGCCAAAGCCCTTCCATTGAGAAGAAAAAGCAGTACTATTACAGCCCGGTAGTTTCAAAAAGCACCCAAAACAAACCCGACACCCCGGAAGTGGCACACCGTAAACTCTCCGGGTACTACAGCGTACATCCACGCGAGGGTTCCGAGTATTTTTTCTTCTTGTGCGTTTCCGGCAGACGCCTCCTGGGTTTATCATGGATCCAGGGGTCTATGCTCCTGGGCCCATGGATGGCGGTATACTCCAGTATAACCCGCATCGCCGGCTTCAGTACGCTTCAGTAGCGGGCTGTTCACTGCAGTGAAGTTTCCCATAGACCGTAAATGTTTCCACCTTTCAATTTGACAAGGAATCTAAATATTTTAAAAATAATTAAAAAATTGCCATCTTATACAGTTCTGTTCGTTAAGATCAAATCCATGGTGAATATTGCCCAAAAACAGATTTTAGCCTTTTCAGATGCAAAAGGTTCGTCTCAGAGTGTAGCCTCAAAGGCCGGTGTGGCTAAATGAATCCAATTTTAACAAAATAAATGTTAAATCTGAAACTAAATAGCTGGGATAATATTATAAACGATGCTGAGAAAATGGAAGAAATGAACGCAGGGAAACGTATCCGTGATATGAAAAAAATCTCTCAAAAGATAAACAAATTTAAAATTCGATTTATATTGGAACACAAGAAAAATCAACTTATTTTTGCAAAATTCTTCATATTTTTGGACTTTCCAAAATAATTATGTAGTTTAAAGGATTCTTTAAAACTTTGCAACTCCGAGAAGGCAATATTGGCTTTATAACAATAGGGTCGAAGTGTCTTGAGGCCATACCATTGTACCTTGACTTGTTGTCTCTATAATTTATGGTTGAATTTTGCTTTCCATATTCTCCAATTGTAATGTATATTGAAGATCTGTTAATCTGTAAGCATCATGTGTTAATAAATTAAATGTTGTAATTTATATATTGGCCGGTCTAGGAACAGATGAAAACTAGCCATTAGCCGGCATATTTTCATTTGATTTGTACCGAGTTCACAAATAATTGCAAAATGTTCTTCATTCCCCATGGAATGGATCATCAGATTTGTCAAAGGATTAAATATTTTACATATAGATCTAAAGCTTTAACAAAATAGGTTAAACCATTGTTCAAGTGTAACATTGGAAACATGTAATAAGGTAATCAATGTTGAGATTCAAAAATGCATGGCTTTGATACAATGTGGTTGCAACTACTGCCTCAAACATACGACCTGCTGTGGGTTGGTCGCAAGGGTCCATGGCGCAGATGGGCACCATTTAAAAACAGAAGTCGTTCACATGTAGGTATTAGTACATTTTACAGCTCAGCTAATACTCAAGGGCAGCATCTAGCCTTTACTCAAGTTTTACAAAGCGAAAGATTAGACTGGTAACTTATTGAAGGTATATTTCTTTTACTACTTCAAGATGTATGATGTACAGTGCAATCGTATCTATTAAGAAAAAAACTAAAAAAAACAAATATATTTGTTTCAGTTTTATTAAACAGCACATAGGCAAAATTGTGGAAAAATATCTCCAAGTAATAAAAGGCTAAGAAATACAGAACATTCTGAGGTATTGTCTTTCAATTAAGTGAAAATTCTAGTTTTCTGGGTGTGTATTATACCATAGACTCCCGCAGGGGCGACTGCAGTCCTTCCAAAAGAACAGCTGTAGAAACTTACCTGGACAGCTGCAAAAGGAAAGGTCAGTACACACAAAACAGTACAAAGCACTTTTTTAAAATTGAATTTTGCATTTCAATGAAAAAAAAAAGAAAGAAAAAAAGATCATTTGAGGATTCGGAATCCACACTTTTTTTTACAAAGTCATTTGTAAAAGGTTGTCAGTGCTTGATAGGATGAACAAATACTAATCTACAAATGGCATTTTATAAAAGACAATTCAAAGAACAATTAAATGGTACATTCATGATGTCCTCATAAAGCCAGTTAAAAGTTAAAATTTGGCAGCTGCATTTAACACTGGTCCCACAGAAAAGTCCTAAAGTTTGTACAAAAACCAGTTATTGGACCAAAATCATAAATGGAACTTAGAATGCATTGTTGTACAATTGGACGATCTACACACAACTTAAGTGGCAAATGTGTAGCAATAAATGACAGTCAAAACACAACACAGGACAAATTAAAGAACATGTAACAAAAAGTGTACACCAGTGCTTCCCAATCAGTGCAACATAGAAACATTTCAGTCAAAGGGTAAATTGTACATAATTTAAATTGAAAGATGCCTTGTGTGATACTCGTAAAAGTCACACCCTTGGATCATGTTGGGCCCCAATGTCATAAGAACATTAGACATACTCAGAAACCACTGGTATACACATTTGTTCTAAATTTAACAAGAACTTAATATATATGCGTTGTGTGATAACTTTGTACTAAGATTAACAATAATTAAAACTGCCAATTCTTTCACAAATTTCCTATGAACACATCCTTACATTTAATAAAGATGCAACATAGTAGAGAAGTCACCAACTGCACAGTGTACCTCAGTAAACATTTTATTACAACAGATTTATTCAAAAGCAGACACTTACAAACTTTCTAACCATGGAAATAATGTAAGGGGAAAGAACATCAATATGTACCTATAAAATCTAAAGTCTAAACTGAATGTACACAGTACAAGGAGCCAAAATAAAATAAAGCAAGAGTATATTTTATGCATGTCCTTTAGGGGGCGCTGCGGGCTGTCTTTTATTTATATGCAAAGAGCATCACACGTAATCACTTCATAGTGAAATAAAATGTCATAAAAATAAAAGAGCAGTTTGGAAAGTTTTCTTTCATCTTTAGTCAACCATGAATAATGTGTTTATAACAGGCTTACAGAGTCGGGCTCCGCAGTGATGCGCAGTGAGGAGAAGAGTCCCGTCATGCAGCCGCTCTGTCCTGATCCTTCCGCGTCCTCGTGAGCTGAAATGTGGCACAATGAAGGGTGGAGTTTGGTTGGAGGCTGCCCAAAAATATTTCCCCTACACACCAGTAAAGTCTACCCCGGTTCACAAAGCCCGCCAGGGCTGGGCTCAACTCACCGTCACAGACTCACCATTTTAGAGATTTACATTCCCCCCCTTTATCAAATGAAAACAATATCCTGTGAAGATGGGTTGACCCAACCCTCGAAGACACAAAGACCATGTTCAACAACTAAAGGTTGTCATTCTGTTATCTTTATAATAACCATGGAAACCATGCCACTTCAACCTCCCACAAACACTTATACAAAACCTTTACAACATGTGGCCCACACATTAAATTATTTTGCTTCTTTACAGTTAATTACTTAAATATAGTATAACTACACACATGTCAGCAGTGAAAACCTCAACAACCTAAAATGTAAATGGACAGCTATCTATTCGAAGACAAAAAACAAAAAGGACAAGACAGATGACAAAACTACAAAAGGTGAAAGTTTTTTTGAGGTATGGGCAATACTGTGTGTCACTGTCTAGTGAGCGTCAAGGGAAGGCAAGTATTTTCTTTAAATCATACAAAGGACATGCAGAACAATGGCATTGCACATGAGGCAAATTCAAGAATTTACTTGAGCAAAAATCATTGTACTTCAACAAAATGTAAGTGTGAAATAGAAAAAGACACCATTTCCAAATTACTGGTATTGGTGCATGTAAACCTCCAATATATAAACAGTTTGTTTTGTTAAAAACATTGAATTTTTTAAACATATGTAAACATTGTAAAGCCACATCAGCAGCCAGACCAGGGTCAAACAGGTGTACAATAAAAACGGAATATTGTGGAAGAGAATTTTAGCATTTCAAACTGTCCAGTCATTACAGTTTTGCTACATTTGAGTCGTTTACCACCAGTGAGAACACGTGTATAATGAAAAATTACTGAAATATGATCAATGACAATTCACTTGTAGAGCCCCATTCACATAAAACAAGTCCTATGTATTGCTCTGTCACTTTCCCGTATGGCAGTTGAACACCAAAAGCAAATATAGGGATTTTCTTATTCCAATGTCATGGAGATACTTAGTTAAATTATGGTTATGTCTAAAGTACAAACTGACAAAATTAACTGCACTTCACCACCACTGTCGAGAAAACAGCTAATGCTATTGATAGGATATCTTGATACTTATTATATAGACATTTTCTAACACACAATGACATATTGAATATAGATACGTTTATATTTCACTGTTGCAACTCTGTTTGCCTTCTCTGTGCTGCACTCATGCTGAATGTGCTCTCCCACGTCAGCTCTATCAATGGTATATTGTATTCATGGAGGGATGTAAATCGGTGGCCGTTTAACCGGTGGTTGACCGTCACAGCATTAACCGGTCAAAGCTGTCGGTTAAAAAAAGAAAAGGGGGAGAGGGGAGGTCTCTTAACGCTATTTTAAGCCCCGCGGTGTGATGTATTAGTAAACTCCGGGCCGACTTTCAAGCCGCACGCGCCACATATGCACGCACACATGCACACACACACACATTTCCCCCCTCCATTGATATGCAACATCCACACACGTCATCTCTCCCCTGTTACTAGTCCGCCAAAGTTGCACACTGGTGCGGGTCAGAACTACATAGCATTCATTCACACACACACACAACGGTCTGTCGCGCTCCTCTGTTTCACACAGATCAAAAGGATCCTCGCAAATACGCGGCTTCAGTCAAACCATATGGGAAAAAATGTTTGTGCTGCTGGTCCTTGGCATCAGCTCCACACACATCACTTGAATTTAAACTTTAGCGGAGACCAGCGAGACGCAGCTCGTCACTCGCCGCTCTGACCATGTGAACGAGCCGTCGTTTGCTTAAAAATGCTTTAACCCGCAGCACAGAAGAATGGGAAGATTCACAGCAGTTCTCTGTGCGCAAAGGTGCCGAAGCTGTTGCAGGTATCGCTCCGCTGTCTCGGCTCTGATCCAGTAGAACGCATAGCTGCACTTATGAAAAGTACGCGGCTCGAAGTGGCTGTTATTTCAAAGAACGTGGAATATTTTAAACTACGCAGTTAACCGGTTTCAACCGGTTAATGAGGCTCGGTCATGAAAATTCAGTTTTTTTACATCCCTATATTCATGTTATCAGGTTTTTTATCTTAAAGTGATTGTAACTTTAAATGAATACAAATTTTAGGAAATGTGTTAAATTGACCTCCTGGCCTTAAATGTTGATATAAAATAAGTCATTTTATTAATTCTAATATTACGGGCAAGTCCCGCCTTCCCTTCTCTTAGCTATAGCTCAGAATCCATGGTGCCGTCGAGGTTACCCAATTAGGTGATGCCAAGGGCTGTCAATCATCGGCGCTCATGCTCGTAGCTGCGCGCATGCTCAGTTTGTTTTCACGGAGCCTCCGAATCAAGCTTCCATTAGGCTCTGGAACTACATGAAAACTGAACAAAGAATTCTGAACATCCGCACTGAGGTACTTATGTATATACTGAACTAGGGGTGGGCGATATGGCCTAAAATTCATATTGCGGTATAATTTGGGACACAGACGGTAGACGGTATATATTGCGGTATAATTTGGTGTGTGAATTTCAATATAGGTCTAGCAGGTTCTTGCATAAAATAGTCAAGATTGTTACTTATTTATATATTAGAATCTAATATATATATTTTTTGAGTTAGAAAATCAGTTGTGAGACGAATAAAGAGACAAATGTTGTAACATACATTATTTATGTATGTTACAGTAAATACCATTCACTGTAAAAGCAATTTTTAAAAAGAAAAACATATGCATTCATTTAAAATATAAAAAACTCACAAATGTTGAAATCAAAGTCTGTAGGAGTTAGATATGGTCATTATTTATAGTGTCTGAGAGTTTTGTGCAGGTACATGACTTCAGTAAAAGCTATTGTTCGTTTACGAAGCTGGTCTTGCCATTTGTTGACGCTCCCTAAGCGCTTTTCTCTGCGCTTGCAGTGAACTGGATGATTCAATGAATTTATGTTCATTAAAACAGCGCATTGGATTTGAACAATTGATGTAAATGATCATTTTGGCACAATTAATTTTGTTTAACAAAGTAGCTTTCGTGAGATATTGACCGCGGAGGTCCGAATCTGACGCTAACTTTCCCAAACTTCTGCTGTGATGCTGCGGACACGGCACACGCATGGATCTATTTTGGCTCACACTGGCGCTTCGAGCCTACGCCCCTTTGACACCGATTGGCCAAAAGGTAGACGCTTAAACTGTGATTACTGTGTGTGTATTTACCTCTGCTGGGGCCGCTGTTACAACAATACATAGACAGAAACACGGTGTTAATGCCGTGCTGTTGTTCGTTGTTTCCAGTGGTGTCTGCTAGGCTAATGCTGCTGAATGCCGGTTTGTTTTGGTCCTTTCTGCTAGTGTCAGAGCCTGCGCAATTTGATGACATAATGACCTATTGCAATATGCCGGTATAACAAAAATCTCTACCGTGGGCCAAATTTATATCGCATACCGCTTATACCGTTTATATCGCCCAGCCCTATACTGAACCTATATCCATAATCATTTATATACTGAACTTATATCCATAATCATTTATATACTGAACTTATATCCATAATCATTTATATACTGAACCTATATCCATAATCAGATCCACTGCAGATGTGTCCTATACTGTTCAATTCATGATAATTCTGAAAACCTCCGTGCATGAGTATTAATAATGTAAATGTATAATGTGTTCTTTGATTAACATTTAAAAGTGTTACGAAAACATAGGTGTAGACCAATCAGAAAGGCAGGGGGAAGGAAGGTTGAGTCGTTTTTTTCAAATCAAGTACCTCTCTCCCTCTTTCTGACAAACTCCAGACAATCACTTTAATGTCGCAGAAGCACTCTGCAGTCACTGCCTGCCTTCCTTGAGTTTTGTTTTGAATTAAAAAGGCAATATGAATAATTATTTAATTTATTTTACAGTTTAATATATATTTCATTATTTTCTCACGTGTCAGAAGAGGAATATTTGTTGGCATAGTAGTTTTTGGGGGGTCATATCATCCTATAGTGATATAGCAAATATATATATTATATATATGTGTACATACATACACACATAGTGAATTATGTCTCCAGTTAAGTCCAGGCCATCCTTACTCCATCAGGTGAAGAATCAGTGTATGACCAAGCACATATTCTTTTTTTTTTATCTGGTATGTTTATGAGAACAGCACAGAGACATGACAAAGTTGGGCAATTGTCAGAGCATACCGGGAACTGTGCCCACTGCTTACACAGGTTTATGTGAATGAGAATTTTTATATAAACAAATCAATCTCACAGTTTTTGCTTACCTTGATGAAGCTGGCTTTCAACTATTTAGGTGTCCAAACTATGGCAAGGGGCCAAATATGACTAGTGCCCAGAACAGTATTTAATATGGAGACTTGCATTAAATTTGTAGTGGCTAGCACTTTTTGGATGCTCGCAAAACAATTTGAAATGAGACATGGTCAAAATTTCAAGAGTGACGTTTAAGTAGTGTTTCATATTGAGAGAAGGAAAATGGCAGGATTCATTTTCTAAATACATTTTAAACTGTCCATTTTATCATCTTAAACAAAACAAAGACTTCATTGTAAAGTTACATTTTAGGGTTATACAGGTAATATGAACTACAAATCTTTTTTATGGAATAGTTCAGGCCATCCTGATCTCAACAGAAACACTGGTTTAATGAAACTGACCAATCACAAACAGCAAATTACAATTGAGCAATAAAACAAAAGGGTTTGATAAAGAAATATGAAAATAAGTTCCCATATCATGAACTGTTTGGACACCCCTGATCAAAGCACAATATACTTCAATAAAACACAACAAACATCTTTATAAAGCCTGGTTGATCCTGGTTTGACAGCTCAAAATGTATCCTTTTCCAAAATATCAACTACCCACCACAATCTTTCAAGCTTTTGCTGCTAAATTCTTTTGAGAACAGACCTCAAGAAAGGACATCATCTTTCAGTCAATCAATGTTCCATCTATGCAAATCCATATTCACATACACTTCAATTTCTGGGTTCTAGACAGACTGGTCAAAAGCCCAGCAGTTAGGGAACACAATGGATGTATAGTTCAATTCTGATAACATTACTTGAAGTCAAATTATGACATAGCACTATTTTAATCTACATTTAAACATACACATTGGCAGATTGAAAACTATTTTGTAACAATATTTTTTACGCAACAAGAAAGTCACAACACCATTAAGAGTGAATACCATGGCATCATATATCATGAATTTTAAAAGGGACCATAAAACTCCTTTTATACAAAATATATCATATTCAGAAACCAAACAAGTCATTGTTACACTAAACAGATAAAAACAATGTTACTCCACTGGTTTTTGAACGTACTTTCATACATCTTAAAACATGTTGGGCATTCCCACCGCATGTACATCATCAACATGACGAAGCCTACAGCAGGGCAATAATGTAACCTGCTCTGTGCTTTACACAATGACAAATACAATTGATCTTTTTGTGACTTTTCTCAGTCAGCAATTCAAATTTCTTTATAATCTGGGCAGCAATATACACAATACTTACAGCGGGATTATTAAATAGGTAAAACATTTGCATTCACTTCAACTTATTGTGGTGCTAAATAAAGAGTGGTTTAAGCATGCAATTTATATTGTTCATTATTTTGGAGTAAATCCAATAGCAATAAAACATCCCATGAGCTATAATAAGCAAAAACACTATATATTGTAAAATATGACCCAAATCAGTATCAATCACGTTCATATGTGTGGGGTGTTAGCACCCATTGTTACAGTACATTTATCCATTAAAAGTGCTTTTACAGCGTCTTTATAGATCAATGTCAAACTGAACATACATAAATATACCACTGTTCTGAGCCAATAACATTTAGCTACATGTCATTTATCATTGACACTTCAACATACATTCACAATACAAATTTACAGTACGAGAATTACACACAGTTAATACATCTGTCAAGATGTGCCAGAAATTACACTTAAAATAGCCAATATGTGTAGTATTAAAGCTGCCATTTGTAACTAGACTGGCCAACAGATATTGAATTCTCATATAATTACATCAATTAGCTTTGACTGGAGCTCCCTCCAGTCTGGTATGACAGACTGGAGGGAGTCTACTGGTAAAAGCAACTAAATGTAGCTTTAATTACACAAAGTAGAAATATGATGTGAGGAAAAGTACATAAATGAAGGCATAGTGAGACTTACCACATACTCACCAGTGAGTGTCTTAGCTCAGCATCTCTCCGCACTGCTCACACATCCACCTCTGAACATTCGGCCCTTCAAACACAGGATAGACAAGTAGAGTACATACCTGCTGCTAGCGGTGCCTGTACTCCCTCTCCCTCTCGCGGTCTCTCTCACGGTCCCTCTCGCGATGCCGGTCCCGTTCACGGCTGCGCTCTCTGTAGTAGTCCTCGTGACGGTCCCGCTCACGGCTGCGGGATTTGTGACGCCTGCTCTTCTCTCTGGATCGGCTGTGATCCCTTTCTCTGGAGCGCTCTCTTCTGGCGGCACAGAAGCCCAGTCAAACCAGAGTGTGGGTGTGTGGGTGTGTCACTGAGAGTCAAAAGAATTTACCGTGCGGAGCCGTAACTCTTGGACTCTATACCATGTAGACAATCCTGCAGAGAGCTGATGAGCACCTTACAGCGGTCGTCAGCTGACACCTTGGACTGTTTAATCAGACTGATTGCTGTGACTAGAGTCTCAATGGCACTGCCGTAGTCCGCTGCAGTCACAACACATTAGCATTAGCATGGACATCTTGGCATGACTTACACAGCGCTGATGTTTGAATTTACCTGCACTGGCGTCAGACACTGCTCTAGAGATGGCACTGGAGGAGATGGCTCGATTTCTGTTCATAATTTCCTCAAACTCTGCCTCGCTCAGAGGGGCTCGAGAGGAGTCCATTTCCCTAAAAGAAACAAGTTACAAATTAGATCTACTGACTAATCACATAAGCTGCTTTAGATCTTTTGAATTTCCCTAGTGGGTTCAGGTATCCATAAGGCATAGTCATCCACACTTCACAATAAGTGCTAGTAAAGGATATAAAGGGTTTTACCGTCCTCCGTGTCCAAAATCCCTCTCATATGGTGGCGGGCGGCCATATGGGTCATTGGCTCCTGGGGGGCCTCTGTCGTTTGGGGGCATGTTGTTTCCTGGTGGGGGGAAGAAGGCCGGGTTGACGTGTGGAGCAGGTGGTGGTCCACCTGGAGGTGGACCTGCCAGATGAGGAGGGGGGCCTAACAATGGGGGGCCAAGAGGTCCAGGTGGCCGTGGGGGGAATGGGCCTGGAGGTGGAGGTCCTTGTTGAGGAGGTGGTGGTCCAGGGGGGGGACCATAGCCTGGAGGAGGTGGCCCCGGAGGCATTGGCCCCAGAGGAGGCTGTCCAAACTGACCAGGGAACAATACAGGGGGAGGTGGTCTGTCCCCACGTCCAGGGGGACCAGGCATGGGCGGAGGTAAGCCTTGGCCTGGAGGAGGATGGCCAGGGGGGCCTGGGTGCATAGGAGGTCCAAGAGGAGGCCGTGGGGGGCCCTGCATTCCTCCTGAACAAAAAGACAGAGTTGAAACACCAGATCCATGGGGAGTAATACTGTGCTTCAGCTCAGGTAACCCCATTTATTCCCATAACAAGAACAAAAAAAAGTATCATCAACTAGTAAGCCTGTCACAATAACAAATTTTGCTGGACAATAATATTGTCGTTCTGAGATCATTATCATCTAATACAATGATAATGATGCAGGTACACCTTTTCAAAGAGAAATAAAATTTTATGTTTAAAGAATATTTAACACTAGAACACAATAAATGAACAAACAACCAAAAATAAATAGTCTCTGTTAACAAAAAAGGAACTGAAAAAAAACTACCAGGACCTTTGTAATCAAAGTTATGAAACAGATGCCTCAATAGGCCACATGTAAAAATCATTTTAGAAATAATTTACGCCAGTAGTCCCGCCTCCCAACACACCATGCGACTGACAAGTGACTGACATGAGGGTTCACTCATCGTTACTCTAATGGGGCGTTCAGACCGCCGACGCTGGAATGCAGCTTCCGCACACACCAGACGCACATTCTCTACATTTCAGACGCAGGGGTGTTCAGACCAGAAGTCCTGGCCTGCGGTGGCGCAAGTAGCGGGCGGGCTTTGATGCAAACTGAGTTAAGCTAGCGGCTTTTTGTGAAAAGTTCTCCAAGAATGCAGCTTTGCAGCGTCTGTGTCCAGAGACCTTATATAACAGCAGTATGTGTTCACGGAGGTGCGCCATAAGTTTATTTTATTATTAAACGGTACTTCCACATCATCGACCAACACACTAGCTGCACTGGTTTAGTCACTACTAGAGAATGAGAACTCATATGGCATATGTTCACAAGCACTGTGTCCCCCATTGTCAATCCTAGTTTAGCGCCTGTTTTGGCTGCATATTGTATTTGAGTATTTTCGGTCTGCTCGTTAGATCGCTAATGTCCCCGTGAGCACTTTGTAGCTCTCTGACCAGGGAGAGAGGGAGAGAGAGGGACAAGGAAAACAAGCAAGCAAATGGCATCAATCGCGGCCAGAAAAAATATAGAGCTAATTATCATGCGATTAATTGATTTATTTAATATCGCAACAGGCCTATCAATCAATGATATTAAAATCATTAAATATGAATTAGCTCAAAACACTAAATGATTGGTTCAAGATGAGAAAACCTTTATTCATCCCACAGTGGGTAAATTTTTAAGGTTCACAACCACCCTCATGATGCTTTACGTAATAAGAACAATGGAGATAAGGGACACAAACTTTTCTGCTCTATGTGAAAATGTTTTGCGATACTATCAATGATAAAAAGAAAAACAATAATTGGGGAACAACAGTATCCACAAGATCCAACCCCAAAACTGTTGCGGTCTGGAGCACGAGTCGTTTATGTTAAGATTACAGCGTATGGAAACATTTCTTGTGTAGTACTAGAGAATTAAGAATGCAGAACAGCAGAAGGAATTTTAGCACGTACTGAGAGAGGCTCAAGTTAACAATACCTGGGAAGTGTGGTGGTGGTCCTCCAGGGCCAGGAGGGCCAGGAAAGCGGTCACCTGGGCCGGGTGGTCCGGGGTATCTGCCCCTACCTCCTCTTCCCATGGGGAATCCTCCACGAGAGCCGCCCGGTGGGCCGGCCTTGCCTTCTCCAGACATCTGTCCCGAAGTGCCTGAGCCAGGAGTTCATAAAAACACATTTGAAATAAAGCAGCTTGAACACTGACATAGCAAACCCAGTTTGTTGAAATGCAACCCATTAAATATTTACTTTTACGAGACTGCATCTCAAATTGGCTCAGCGATTGTTTGTTACATGGTGTAACAATGGGATTCTGGCCATGGAGCTCTCGCTTTGAGAGCAAGTCCATCAACTTCCGGGAGGAGCCCTCAGACCCGACACATACTAATGCAAACCTTAAAAACACAAGCAAGACACGTAAGACACGTTTACATTACACCCCTTGAAACAAGTGACACTCACCCTTTGGATTGGCCATTCGCTCGGTTTTCAAAAAACTTTATTTCCAGCATGTCTGTGATGCCAATGGAGCGGATGGCTTCCGTTAGATCTTCATCTGTGGTCCACTGCACAACACGATTTACAATTCAACAACGTTTTTTTCAATACATTTGTTATAATGCATCATACCCAAGTAAGGTTTCCGATGTACAAAGCTATCCTTTTGCCCGAGTAGTTGTAAGCTGAATTTGATTGAGCATTTTTCCCTCCTTCAGTGCCTCCTGGAGCGGAGTCCAGATAGTCCCGGTCCTCTGGAGCATCTCCATTGTTGGCCGAGGGGGAAATGACATCATCATACAAGTCAATCTGTTCATGCACTGGATATTCAGCCTCCTGTTGGACACAAGACAATGGGTTTCAGAATTTATATTTTTTAATTATGAACCTGTACATTCAACATAAACACTTGAGCCCAAACCTCTATTAAAACCAACACTGTATAAATGACAAGTCCACAGCCAGGGAAATAAAGGGTAGTTGCTTGACTATGTTTCTGATACTTTAGTTTGCGTTTCCTCACTGATGCAGATGCTAATCTTCCCGCATTCGAAATAAGTTGTACAATTCGTAATTACATACTTGCACATCTGTGTAAAGCCAGTCGTACAAGTCAAGGAAAATTGAGGTATTTATATCAGTGGGGCGGAACATATGGTCTGTACTCTTAGTAAAAAAACAAAACAAAAAAACACCTAGGGAACCAAATTGTATTATCAGACAAAAGAGAAATACAAATGAAACCTCGTCGGACTATGTTCTTTTACACTTGTCAGTTTTTAGACAAGTTGCGCGGTGATTGTGAGACTTGAGCTCTTCTAAGCAACGCAGGGGGCGTAGATGAATGAATAGCATAACATGTTTAAGACACACCAACACCTATAATTATGCCACAATTACCACATACACACATCGCATGCTTTTAATTTAGTGGCCCTATGCAGACAGACATGCACACTGAAATAAACAGACTCGATGTGTATAAGACTCGGGCTAACAACAGAGCTAAAACGGCATAGGGCCCGCCACAATAAAAAAGGCCACGACGAAGACAAATCATTACGCACTTTATATCACTCAGGGCGGAATCGTCACAACAGGACTTCCAAACAGCCTGGGCACATATTTACAGCCCACATGCTGCAGGGACGCGGTGCATTTGTCTGCATTCACTCTCAACATGTTGTACTAATGAGGCTAAAGCTAGCAGCGTGGTCGAGACAGGCCCCGTGCGCGCGCCCTTCACAGAAGCTGGTCTCTGTATGAAACAAGTGTGTGTCTGTATCGACTCATGCAGAGAAGTAGACTGGCTCGTCTGAAAGAGCACATCTGCAGCGTGTCTTTACCTGGTTAAATTCCTCCTCTACATCGGCGTAGATGTCGATATGATCCACACCGTCCGCCATTTTCCTCCGCTCTCTCCGCCTGCAGCGCACAAGTTTCTACAGACCCGAAAACAATGGTGAGGGCCACACACATTTCTTGCACTAGAGCGAGCGTGATTCTTTGGCGGCCATCTTACGAGTGGTTGGACAGGACTGTGGAATGGGATTTTTTTTGGCTGTGTAGCAGCCTGATTGTACATAATTGCTGTGGAAGGTTGCCCCGGCGTTACAAACATCAAAAATAACCAATAAGTTATTAGCAGTATTTGTTTCAATGTTAAAGAGAGTGTATTTTTGACCACACTTGAAATATGTGATTAAGACATATTATGAAGTAAACAAATCACCCCAGATAGCAATGTTGAAAGGGCACACTGAAATTAAAACATTTTACTTCGTTAACGCTCAAAAACACCCACGATCGCTGCTTCCTCTGCAACACTCTGCAGAGTATTTTTTTTCTATAAATCCACACTTTAGTGCAACAAACTCTGCTCGTTTGGATCCCGCCCTAGCTCGCTCTGATCAGCAGCGCCAGCCGCTGCCATGCCTCTCAAAAAGGTCCATGAGCACGTGCGCTGACCATAGATCTATAATAATAACTGGATAGCGTAATACTAGCTTATAGCTGTCCAATGACGTCTTTTATTCTCTCAAACAGCTTTACCGGATGGTCCAAAAGTCGGCCCAATGCTATGCTCCAGATGCGTGTTAATGGTGAGGGTGTATGACAGTACTTCTCAAATAGTGGGGGGGTTGTGGTGCGATGCAGGGTGTGTGTGACCCCGGGCTACATGCTTTTTTGCCTTGAATAAAATGTAATTGCACATCCACTACAGTAGTTGGCAGTGGCACTCTCCTTGTCTGAGTTATCTGCAAGCCCCGGTGATCCAAGATGGCGCCCTATTCAAATGAATGGCTTGTGCTCTGTAGTGCATGGGACATAAAGGAGGACCTAAAGATTAGCTTAACTCGCCTAAATTTGGGCATCGTCTGGTTCTGCGCAGTGGACGAGCTCCCATGATGCATTGCGCCAAATACACATGTGTGGTTCTCGTGCACAAGCTTCCCGTGTCTTTGTTACCGGTTACTGCTCACACAGCGAAACAGCCATCCAAAAAAAAGTCTCGTCCTCTCCGTGCTTCCCGGTTCTATCATTCTATGGTCACGCCATCCACGTTCAAATGTGCGATCCATATTGTGAGACGTGAGCTCCGTATACATTTAGCACGTTAGCACAGGCTGAGGGGGAGGGGGGTAGTGGGGGGCCATAGACTGTATATATTAACGGACAGAGTCACGCCTATCTACGCCATTCTAACTAATGGGCCAAAAGTTGTGCTCTACTGGAGCTATCCAAAATGCCCGCGAGTGGTCCTGCCCACAAGAAAATCGTGAAAAACGCATCTGCGCATGTGTCAGCCGGCGCAAGCTCCATTCATTTGAACGAGAGACTTCAAAAATTCACAGCGAATAAACTAGAGTGGACCAAAAAAATCCACCCCCCTCAGCACTGACACACATGTGGAACGGACCTATGGGCCAAGAGCCAACTTTTGGACCATCCTGTAAAGACCTTTTCCAGAGGTCTGCCAATGCTATATGTTAGCATTCTTCTTAGCTCATTCTTCTTCTGGGTCCACCCCCATCGGCCCGGGGTGGTATTGCAAGCATGTCAGCGCACGTCATTTTGGCCACTTTTGACCTGGGACCCGCCCCCACTGTGGGGGGCGAAAGCTCCATGGGTGCGGGGAGGGCGAGCAAAAAGAGCGAGCCCAGCGCTCAGATTCGAAATTGTCTCAAAGTCAGTTAGTGCAGCTTTAAACAGATATTTGTTATGTATGGACAGTACAAGGCGCGAGGGCTCTTTTCGAGCCCTTGCACACTTGTTATGACAGTAATTCTGATTTTGAGGACTCAGACGTCAGTTCAGATGAGTAGCAATCTTCAAGAAATGAACATTTGCGGACATTAGCCCCGCTCCCATCTGTGTGGTGTGAGAGGACAAGTGCCCAAAAATAACAATTGTAAACCGCTTTGTGACTCTGGTCTGTGAAAGGCGGTATATAAATAAAGATTACTTACTTACTTACTTATTAAGGCCGTTTCCACGGGCTGGACTCATGGATCTGTGGTTCGGCTCGATGATGCCACCCAAATGAGTGTAAATAAGTGTTAGCGAAGATAGCGCTAGGGACGAAGGAATGGATATCACGGACATCGTAGTGCAGAGAAAAGTAGTAATATTTAATATTTGCATGTCAAGTCATCATTAAATGGCCCCAACATTTCAAAAGGCATTATTAAATCATGCTCTTTTCGAATACATCTTTAACTGATAACAGTAGTTCAGCCGAGATATTTGAATATAAAAATTAGTTTTACGACCCGTAAAAGTTGTTAACAGTTTGAATAGAGCACTTTAATGTTTTTGCACTCGTATAGATCTGTTTTAAGTTGGTCAACTTCACGGTGACATTTGTTTACTGTTTTTAAAAATTTTTTTATTTTTGTCTTTTAATGTTGTTTTGTGTCTGTACTTGTCCTGTGCACACTGGGAACTTTTACAAATGTATTCCAATGTAGTGTTACTGCAAATGGCGAAATAAATGAATCTGAATCTGAATCTATTGTTTTCAACTGATGTCTCACCCGCCGCTGTTTCGCCAATCAGGAAGTGAGTGATCCGGGTTGCCACAACTCCCCGCGGCTAATCTCACTGGTAAAATAACATTTGGCCGCTGAACTAAAAAAGGTTTTATTATGACTCTCAAATCATTTATGACAAAACAAAGACTAAAACGAGGATTTATATTAGGACGCCTTTGAAAAGTTGAGAAAGCGGATAAAAGTTTTTGTGAGATCCAAAACTTGTCTGATTGAGTCTGTTTCTCTCCGCGCAATGCATCGCCTGTAATGGTGTCCTAATGGTTAAAGCGCAGAGCTTAAGTACCGGCGACCCGGGTTCTCATCTCAAATGTCCAAATAAAAAAAATAAAAAAATATTCATTCAAAACATTCAATCAACATTAGCACGGCCATCATGGCAATGTGAATGGGGACAGACAAACAACTGATAAAATAATTCCTTGTGTTTGCTACTGGATTTGGTGTGTATCTGGCAACCTGAGTCAGGGAGAGTGGGAGAGGACTACAAAATATTGACTGTGACTGCAGTACCACTTTTTGGCCAGATTTTTACATACGCGTAGAAGTGTCTACCGTGAAATGAAGGATAACAGCAGTAAAAGTGGACAGAATCGAAAAGTCTGGAGGTGGTTTGACAACATGGATTATTTTTACGGACATCAGCTAACACCAGCTAACACGTCAATATCTTCCCCGTGAGTTTTCAGTGATATTTTTATGGGCTGTTTACATTCACCCACGTGCGGATTACAAAGTAGCCCTACAGGATCTGAGCGAGATCCTTCACAAACATGAGTCTGCTCATCCTAACGCAGTCATCATTGTTGCTGGGGATTTCAATAAATGTAATTTAAAGACTGTACTCCCGAACTTTTACCAACATGTGACTCGAGCTACAAGAGGAGCACATGTTCTGGATCACTGCTACAGTAACGTGAAGGGAGCTTACAGGTCCGGTCTCAGACCTCCTTTTGGAAAGTCTGACCACTCCTCTGTTCTCCTTCTTCCTTCGTATACTCAGAGGAGCAGGGAACATAAACCAACCTCTCGCACTGTGCAGTGTTGGTCTGAGGAGGCTAGCATGAAGCTACAAGGTTGTTTTGATGCTACGGACTGGTCTGTGTTTCAGTCAGAGGACGTCAATGAATTCTGTGATGCTGTGTCTGGATACGCTTCTGTATCGACTGTTGTGTCCCACAGAAGGTCATTAAAGAACATTTTAGTCAAAACCCTTGGATGAACGCGGAAGTGAAACTGAAACTTCATGAGCGTGCGTTGGCGTTTCAATCAAATGATACAGTTGCTTATAATCAATCCTGTTACTCATTGAAACGTTCTATTAAATCTGCAAAGCGCAATTACGGGGACAGGTTGAAGAGTTATTTTGAGGAAGATGACCTTCGGCGCATGTGGAACGGTATTAAAGCCATCACATCGTGGAAACCTAGCGCTGGGAAAATTGCATCTGTCGGCCAAGCTCTGCCAAACGAGCTGAACACGTTCTACTGTCACTTTGAATCCGCTGATGCCTGTCCTACTGTATTCCCTGAGTGTTTCAATGAAGTTGCCTTCACCGTGACTCAGGAGGAAGTCAGGCGTGTCTTGTCCAGGACCACAGTCCGGAAAGCCCCAGGCCCGGACGGCATCCCTCCTCGTGTCCTGAAACTGTGCTCTGAGCAACTTGCCCCTGTGCTAACAGACATTTTCAACCTGTCGCTAAGGAACTGTGCTGTGCCGAACTGCTTTAACCTTTTAAGGATCACCCTCCCTGTACAGGGAGGATTCAGTTATTTTTCATTTAACAGCATCAGTATTAGAATTCACTTGTGTCAATATAGTCAAGCTATATCTCTTTTGAAAGCTTATTCCCACCTCTAAACGCGTATTATGTTCAAATGTTCAAATAAACATTAAATATAACCAAAATTAAGAATAAGTAGTCTAACTGTATATATATTTAAAATATATATTGTCCTTTCTTACCTTGTCATGCTAATATTCTGGGGCAAATCACGTCTAATCCACACATGTGTGCATTCGTTTTGTTCTTTAGGGTCTAGAGAATAATTATATCCAGTTGTTTTTTCTTCAAAGTCATCCTTATAGTAGATATCCACTTGTAACAACATATTTGAGTATTGAAAGTTGCACAAACAAAAACAAAACCTGTTCTTTGCGCACTGTATGAAGAGGACATTTTACTGTTTACCTAGCGTCACTGGGTATGGTCGTCTTCCCCTAAAGCTCACCGCACACCGAAACGCAGCGCCTCGCGGCGCGTCATTTGACGCGCGTTCATGACATGTGTCAAATTACACCGGAACGCCTTGGCTAGCGTCCTTTTCCAGCTGATCGCAGATGAAATGGGTGAG